AAATGTTATGAGACTTAAACACAATGCTTATTACCACAAAACTCAGATCAAGTTCAAAATCTGGTAGCGTCACTTTTACCGTTCTTCAGTTATGTCCCTTTATAACTATATGCTATGCAAGCGGGGGCATCATCTGTGTCCATATGTGGACACTATCCACATTTTTTTCTTATAGCAATGAAATGTTATGTGAAATTTTGTCTGTAGTACTAGACAGGATAAAACTTTACTCATGCCAAGTATTTCTTTATTTGAAACAAAGATAAATTCTGCACAATTTTTTGAAAAGTGCAAATTTAACAATGACTAATAGGGGAAAAACAATGGTGGTATTACACCTAAAAGAGTTATTGCCCTTAAATGACGAATTTTCCATTTTAAAATTTTTTTCCCTATTATCTTGTAAATTATAATAGATAGACAGAAACTTTAAATAGCAAAAAAGATCAGCAAGGCAAGATCTACAAATAAATCTAACATGACCAAAATCATCAGTTGACTCAATAGTAGAGTTATTTCCCTTTAATGACAAAGAAACTTTATAAAGCAAAAATGATCAGCAAGACAAGTTCTACAAATAAGTCAAAACATGTTCAAAATTGTAAGTCGACTCTTTATTGAAGTTATTGCCCCTATAATGACCATTTTCCCCATTTTTTCCCTTTTTTGCTAATTATCTTGAAAACTGTAATATATAGATAGAAACTTTAAATAGCACAGACAATAGAAACTTTAAATACAATTATCTTGAAAACTGTAATATATAGATAGAAACTTTAAATAGCACAGACAATAGAAACTTTAATTATATAAATAGCACAGACAATAGAAACTTTAAATAGCACAGACAATCAGTAGGACAAGATTTACAATTAAGCCATTATCGTCGAAATCTCTAGTCGACTCGCTATTGGAGTTATTGCCCTTTAATGTTAATTATTCACATTTTTTATGCATTTGTTGCCTATTATCTTGAAAAGTATAATAGATAGATAGATAAAAACTTTAGCAAGGAAAAATTATCAGCAGGATAAGATCTAAAAAATATGTCAACATGACTGAAATTGTCAGTTAACTCTTAATAGAGTTGTTCCCCTTCAATGATGATTTTTACTAAAACAATTTTGAAGATGCAGGTGAGCGACACAGGCTCTTTTGAGCCTCTAGTTTTAAAAGTGGTCTCATTTGTTGCTCACAATTGATTTATAACTAGTAAGATCATTATTCAAATGAGACCTCTTATTCAAAATTGGAGTTTTCCTCATATTTTTTAACTGGTTCAAACTGGAAGTAGGCTTTTATCATGAAATAAGCTATATGAATAACCAAAGAATGGTTTGCCATTCTGTTTTCTGCAACTCATCCCTAATACTAGTTTCAAGCAGTGATCACAAATTTTAGTTCAATTTTCAGGCTTCACAGAAAGTTTTATGTCCACCAACAGAGATTTAAAAGCTGACAAATGTCACAAGACCCAAAAAATATAGGGAATTATTAACAATTTAATTCAATTATGACAACTACCATCAGAAATGCAATACCTATATCACCCACCCACCTAGGGAAAAAAAAAAAAGTTTTTGTCGAGCCTGCGACTTTTGTCGCAGAAAGCTCGACATAGGGATAGTGATCCGGCGGCGGCTACGGCGGCGGCGGCGTTAGCTTACTTCTTAAAAGCTTTATATTTTAGAAGGTGGAAGATCTGGATGCTTCATACTTTGTATATGGATGCCTCATGTTACGAAGTTTCCGTCAGTCACATGTCCAATGTCCTTGACCTCATTTTAATGGTTCAGTGACTACTTGAAAAATAAGTTAAGATTTTTTGTAATGTTAGATTCTCTCTTATTATAAGTAATAGGATAACTATATTTGGTATGTGCGTACCTTGCAAGGTCCTCATGCCCGTCAGACAGTTTTCACTTGACCTCGACCTCATTTCATGGATCAGTGAACAAGGTTAAGTTTTGGTGGTCAAGTCCATATCTCAGATACTATAAGCAATAGGTCTAGTATATTCGGTGTATGGAAGGACTGTAAGGTGTACATGTCCAACTGGCAGGTGTCATCTGACCTTGACCTCATTTTCATGGTTCAGTGGTTATAGTTAAGTTTTTGTGTTTTAGTCTGTTTTTCTTATACTGTATGCCATAGGTCTACTATATTTGGTGTATGGAATGATTGTAAGGTGTACATGTCTAGCTGGCAGGTGTCATCTGACCTTGACCTCATTTTCATGGTTCAGTGGTCAAAGTTAAGTTTTTGAGTTTTGGTCTTTTTTTCTAATACTATATGCAATAGTTCAACTATATTTGGTATGTGCGTACCTTGCAAGGTCCTCATGCCCGTCACACAGTTTTCACTTGACCTCGACCTCATTTCATGGATCAATGAACAAGGTTAAGTTTTGGTGGTCAAGTCCATATCTCAGATACTATAAGCAATAGGTCTAATATATTCGGTGTATGGAAGGACTGTAAGGTGTACATGTCCAACTGGCAGGTGTCATCTGACCTTGACCTCATTTTCATGGTTCAGTGGTTATAGTTAAGTTTTTGGGTTTTGGTCTGTTTTTCTTATACTGTATGCCATAGGTCTACTATATTTGGTGTATGGAATGATTGTAAGGTGAACATGTCTAGCGGGCAGGTGTCTTCTGACCTTGACCTCATTTTCATGGTTCAGTGGTCAAAGTTAAGTTTTTGAGTTTTGGTCTTTTTTTCTAATACTATATGCAATAGGTCATCTATATTTGGTGTATGGAAATATTTTATGATGTACCTGTCAGTCTTGCAGGTTTTATTTGACCTTGACCTCATTTTCACGGTTCATTGCTCAGTGTTAAGTTTTTGTGTTTTTGTCTGTTTTTCTAATACTATAAGCAATAGGTCAACTATATTTGTTGTATGGAAGGATTGCAAGCTGTAGTACATGTCTGCCTGGCATTGTTCATCTGACCTTGACCTCATTTTCTTGGTTCATTGGTCAATGTTTAGTTTTCTTGGTTAAGTCTGTATCTTAGAAACTATAAACAATAGGTCAACTATATTTAGTGTATTGAATGATTGTAAGGTGTACATGTATTTCTTGTTTGGTTTATATGACCTTGACCTCATTTTCTTGGATCATGTTAAGTGTATGTGATAGTTGTAGTAAAGCTTTATATTTAGGACTATCAACATAATATCAATGATTAGTAAAGAAGGCGAGACATTTCAGCGTGTGCACTCTTGTCTTACTCTCCTTGGTATTTTTTTCTGGAATATTTCATCATTTATAGATATGAATGACAGAAGTTATGGTCATTGAAACAGCAATGAAATAATAAAAGTTTACATTTTCCATTGGTGGCCTATGGGTGTATTTTGCTCTTTGGTCGGGTTGTTGTCTATTTGACACATTCCACATTTCCATTCTCAATTTTATTTAGCAAAACAGATTTTATAGACTATCAGAAAAATGCTTTTAAAACGAAAAGATCATAATTTACAAAGGTGTTAATAAAGTTTAACAGACAGAACCGACAGAACCATGTCGATTGAAATATTGGAAGTGTGCGCATGTGCACAAGTGTGATATTTATTATTTAATAATTCGTCCGAATTCATACAAAACGTTTTTTTTAGCGTCATCTAGTAAATATCCGTTATTGCTAATGTGTTTATCAAATAACTAAGCTGGTCCTCAACTGACTAATGCACTTTGTTAAGTCTGCGAATATATGCCAATTCGAACCATGCACTATCAATGTAATTGTTAAAAAATGTCATTTATACAATTATCTTACGTTGATCTCAATTATTTTCCCTAAGAAATAACGAGGAAAGAACTGCTTAAACTCAATAATGCTAGATAAAAATACACAAATTTTGCACAACCGTCTCTGTCCCGCATTTTAGTGTCGTCTAGTAAATATCCGGTATTGCAAATGTGTTTATCAAATAACTAAGCTGGTCTTAGACTGACTAATACACTTTGTTAAATCTGCAGATATATGCCAATTCGAACCATGCACTATCAATGTAATTGTTAATGTAAAAAATGGTATTTATATAAAAACTGAAAAAGTATGAAGTCTATGAAGTTTATTCTTTAATACTTTAATGGCTTTATCATATTGGTTATGTCCATCTTTTGTTATGGGGTAACCTGTCGAAAGGGATAAAACACGGGATTGAAAAAAATGTCCGGCTGTCTCAAATATTTTTGGAAGCCCTGGTCCAAATAACATAGATATAAGCACCCATAGGTCCTCATACTTATATAGCAATTAAGAGATCAAGATTTTTTTAAAGACCTCTGTTTAAGGTACTCCACACCTCCTTTAATTCATATTTATGATATATCATATTTAATGAAATCTATAAGGCATTCTTGGATACTTTTATGCATATTATTCATATTATATACCTTTATCAAGAAAAACTTCACTATATACATATATCAGTTTGATAGATGCATGCAAGTGAATCTGGAATAAAAAAATGATATGGGTACTTAACTGCATGCTTCTAAGAACATTAAGATTTTCTTGTCGGATAAATGTATATCAGCATGGTAAAAAATGATTTTGTATGACTGTGTCCTAGTTCCTTGAGTTTTTTTTTTCAATAAAAAAAGTTATAATCATTTAATCTATACATTTTTGTATGTGAATATAATTCCAGAAACATTTTATGTGCACAGACATCTGTATCCTACCTTGATATCTTATAATCCATAGGTGCTGAATCAGCAAAGTTGATCTCCTTGTTATACAGCTGAAAATGTGTTATTTATTTGAGCCTGTTAACTTGTGATTGGCTTATAGCTACACATATCAATTTAAGTATCATAAAGAATAAAGATGTATACATATTTTACAAAAAGAAAAAAAATGTATCAATGTTTGACATTTCTTTAAAGAATAGAATGTGCGAAACAAGCAAACATAAATATCTGTTTTCACCTATTTGTGAAACCAATGAAGTAAAATATAAAATCCTACAAATATTTTGTAGATACTTCACAGAATTATAACTCAGTTTTAGCAGTACTACAGTTAATATATACTTGTGGATCCGATATTAAACTGGAAGCTACAAAACAGGTTAGTATGGTATTTAAACAGATAGATATTGCTTATATTTATATATATACTGTGAAATTAGTTTTGATCGATAAAAGTCAGACATCCGGTGATGATATGCAATGATGAAGTGTTCATTTTATATCCTCATGATTCTCAAACGAAAAATGAAATATTTGAGGCCTTGCTATTTTTTATTTCATAAGAATTGATTCTACAATTCAAAATACATTTGTAGCTTTTTTCATGTAACCAATTTCTTTAAGTGATATGTTTATGGCCCAATTAACACCTTTAGTGACCGTTAATCTGTTGATCAAACAATTTTGGGTTAATTAGAGTCATCAATTCTGATTACACGTGTGCAACAATTAAAATGTTTACTTTGAAATTTCCTTCAATTGAGAACATTTATAAGGATAGATGAATCGACTTATATCAGAAAGCAATTATCTTATTAAAAGTTTGATGAATGTTGTCAGTAATAAAATACGAACAAGTAGGTGAAAAAGAACACCTTATTTTGCAATGTCCCAGAAATCATTATAAAACAACAAATGATTATTTTCACGAGTTTTATTTTTAGATTCTTCACCCATTTTTTTTTTTCTTTAAAAAAACTAAAATCCATGAATTTAAGACCCACGAACATGCAACTTTTGCTCAAACCACGAAAAATTGATACCCACGAATAAAAGTACTTTCACAGTATGAGACAAAATATCAATATTCTTGTCTGTATATAGAAGACATTGTCATTGACAACATGTCTACTACACTTTTAAGATGATCACATATGTGTTTTGTTACCATGCAAAGAAGTCAGACCAGTATCTTTCTGAATATGCCCTTGTGTGATCCTCTTTATAGTAAATTGTGATGGCCCTTGTGTGATCCTCTGTATAGTAAACTGTGATGGCCCTTGTGTGAACCTCTTTATAGTAAATTGTAATGGCCCTTGTGTGATCCTCTTTATAGTAAAATGTGATGGCCCTTGTGTGATCTTCTTTATAGTAAACTGTGATGTGATGTTATAATTTAAGCAAGTTTTATTTGTTTCTTTGTTTTTTTTGTATTGTTTAGATGAAGATCTTAAAGCTTAAAAAAACAGGAGTAAATATTAATTCTTTGATCTAATAGCTTACATAAACATGAAAAATAGTAATTTCTCTCATCTTATAGCTTATTTAAACATGAAAAATAGTAATTTCTCTCATCTTATAGCTTATTTAAACATGAAAAAGTTAGTTTTGTGATATTAAATCTGTATGTCAACATCAGAAATAGTTTTTTAGTGATATTAAAGCTAAAAATCAACATGAGATATAGTTATTTTTGTGATATTAAAGCTATATTTCAACATGAGAAATAGTTATTTTGTGATATTAAAGCTGTATTTCAACATGAGAAATAGTTATTTTGTGACATTAAAGCTGTCTGTAAAATGAGAAATAGTTATTTTGTGACATTAAAGCTGTATGTAAACATGAGAAATAGTTATTTTGTGACATTAGAGCTGTATGTTAACATGAGAAATAGTTATTTCTCTGTTCTTATAGCTGTATGAGACTGATCTCTTCATTTGAATTTTACCTTTTCAGATAATTTCTCTGTTGGTTTCTAGACCCAATGCTGCCAAAAGTTTTGCCAAACAACTAGGTTGGCAAGAATCTCTAGTCAAACTGTTAATCTTCAGGACATTTGATGACCTTCCTGTAAATAATAGTGATCATGAACTTTCATCAAATCCCATTTCCCAGGTGACTGAAAGTGAAATTACCTCAGATTCAACTGTTGTTTGCAGTATTGCAGAAAAAGAAAATGATGATGTTGACAATTCTCAATGTGAAGGGGATGTTTCTATTGCATGTGATAATGATAAGCCAGTAAAACACCCAGATAATTTGAATTTATTTTTTGTCTGTGATAATGTTTCTATACCTTCACCCAAGAGTCCAGTAACACCTATGTATCTTAATCACATTGATGATTTTAATAGCAGTTCAGAAGATCTTCGACTCAGATCTATGAGTCGAAGTTCAACAGCAAGTTTAGAAGATTTGAATTCTAGTCGTCGTTCCCAGGACCGTGACAGTAGAATTTCAGGTTTTTCTATAAATGGTCCAGTAGACATGAATGCTTCAATAAGTTCTATCAGTGATTCACGTAGAAGTTCTGGCAACCTACAGAATGAAGAATTACAGCAGGCACTGGATAACTTAGGTATTCAGTCTTACTTAAAGGACAGTGGAGAAAGACTTGAGGAAGTATGTCAGAATATTATTGTTATCCTTCTGATGATAATGACAAAAGGTGTGGAAGAATCAAACACAGAGGCATGGAAGGTAAGTTTGCCTTATATCTCTTGCTCTCTTGAGAATAAATACTGATTGTTGTGTCAATGTGGTGTTTGTCTATTTTTCTTCTATAACCAATTTATGGATTTTTGTTCTGAGAATATTAATTACCAAATGACTTTCTTTGTTTGCTTCTATCTTATAGTTATGAATCAAATGATATTTAGTAGGGGTGTCAACTCGTTGAAAAATCACTAATCGAGTACTTGTTGATTTTATCGAGCGATACTCAAGTACTCGCTCATTAATATATCTTCAACAAGGAAACACAAAAATATGTATTTTACATTCTGTGGTTTGTTATTCCAACGGACGAAAAACCATCTACATAAGTATATGGGAGATGGATTTACACACCATAATTAATAGCTCATTACTTACAAGTACTAATTAAGTAAAAAAAAAAACAATAATCTAATCAACTTTGTAAATTACAGTCTGCTAGTAGTCTGTTGTTATTTATGTATTATTGTCATTTTGTTTATTTTCTTTTGTTTCCTATTCTGACATCGGACTCTGACTTCTCTTCAACTGAGTTTTACTGTGCGTACTGTTGTACGTTTGTTTTTTCTACATTGGCAAGAGGTATAGGGGGAGGGTTGAGATCTCAAAAAACATGTTTAACCCCGCCGCATTTTTGCGCCTGTCCCAAGTCAGGAGCCCCTGGCTTTTGTTAGTCGCTGCATTGAAGACCCATTGGTGGCCTTCGGCTGTTGTCTACTCTATGGTCGGGTTGTTATCTCTTTGACACATTCCCCATTTCCATTCTCAATTTTATTGCAGACAAAAATATTTGCTCTGCCGGTACCGATGTGACGGAATGGCTAAGAAATGTTTAGTTTAAAGTGATAGCTTAGGTACAGCCCACATATTTTAGAAGGCATATAAAATATGACAATTTAGCACAAGCATTTGAAACAAAATGTATTTTATTTATAGTATGATTAATCAGTGATGCCTATCTAATTTTCCCAAAGAGGTTCTCAAGAAGATCAATTTTATATAAAGAAGACAGCAATATTTAATAGGAAACCGATTAATCAAGTATCGTTTTGATATTCGATACTCGGTACTACCGAGCGATACTCGAGTACTCGTTGACATCCCTAATATTTAGGGATTCCCAAAACATAACATGGGACATTGCCATGTCACGGCTGGTAATCTACACACGCAGAACAATTGGTTCTGCAATGAAAACCGTGAGAGGATTTTCCGGTTGTGCTTGAGTGGAGTAATTGTCACCGCTTCAAAAGGTATGTACATTTCTAAATCACAATTTTCTAATTCAACTGATCAACATATTGAAAATCGGAGAATGCTATGCTGTGGTAAATACTCTAACGAAGAGATACATGTATCATTTACTGTTGTACATGGAGTTAAACTCCTACAAAATCAGTTGCCCCACGAGAAATTGCATAAAAAAGTGACATTCAAATTTTGAAATGGTTCTATTAACAGACCTACAAGTTCAAATTTAGTTTTTTTTCGGTCAATGGGTATGAATGTCCGTTTTGGGCGGCATGTACGCTGTCAGGTGTTGATAGACGTCTTAATAAATCCAGAAACTACAAATTTTCATTATTTCATGCGTGAGGGGATCGATTCTGATTGAGGACATTGTGAATGCATGAGTGGACGTGAAATCATATCTTTATATCCAAGCTATGAGTCAATGAAAGTTGCCTAAATTTGGTTAGATTGTTCATGAAAAAACACATTTGTGTGCAAAAAAAAAAAAAAAACACTATGAGATAGAATTTTGAAATAAATTGTGGGAAGATAGGTTTTATAATATGTTTTAAGAAAAATTAAAATAAAAAATGGTGTCAACGATTTTGTTTTCTTGCTACAAGTAAAAATTCAGATTTTCCCTATCAGCCCAGTATATATTTTTTACTAAAAGAGTTATCTCCCCTTAAATTGGCTTATTTGAAAAAAAATTATTCTAAAACACGAAATTTGATATTTTTTTAAATAATAATAATAATCGGTCTAGTTATTTGCCCAAATCTGCAAATTTGGAGACAGATTTGCAATTTATTGGTAAGACTGTATATTCATATAAATAAAACTTGGTGATTTATTGTATAAAGTAGATCATCGGTATATGTTCCCCGAGATAGAATTTTCTTATACTTTGCCAAAACGAAGACTTTACTATGCTCTTTTCAAAAAATATTATAAAAAAGATGGGTCACAGTGCTTTTTTTTCATGCTATGAGTCGTTGAAAATTGCCTAAATTTGCTTAGAATGATCATGAAAAGCACATTTTTGTGCATAAAAAGAAATCTATGAGATAGAATTTTGAAATAAATTGAGAGAAGATAGGTTTTGTTGTATGTTTTAAGAAAATAAAAATAAGAAATGGTGTCACCGAACTTGTTTTCTTGTTGCAAGTGAAGATAAAAAAAATCCCTATCATAAAATTGAGAATGGAAATGGGGAATGTGTCAAAGAGACAACAACCCGACCATAGAGCAGACAACAGCTGAAGGCCACCAATGGGTCTTCAATGCAGCGAGAAACTCCCGCACCCGGAGGCGTCCTTCAGCTGGCCCCTAAACAAATAAGTATACTAGTTCAGTGATAATGGACGTCATACTAAACTCCAAATTATACACAGGAAACTAAAATTAAAAATGATATAAGACTAACAAAGGCCAGAGGCTCCTGACTTGGGACAGGCGCAAAAATGCGGCGGGGTTAAACATGTTTTTTGAGATCTCAACCCTCCCCTATACCTCTAGCCAATGTAGAAAAAACAATCACACAACAGTATACGTACGCACAGTAAAACTCAGTATAAGAGAAGTCCGAGTCCTATGTCAGAATAGGAAACAAAAGAAAATAAACAAAATGACAATAATACATAAATAACAACAGACTACTAGCAGTTACTGACATGCCAGCTCTAGACCTCAATTAAACTGATTGAAAGATTATGTCTTCATCATATGAATATCAGGCACAATCCCTCCTGTTAGGGGTTTAGTATTATACCGTCATAAAATATATGAGAAGAACATAACCCGTGTCATGCCAACAACTGGTTTTAGAATAAATGTGCAGTATAATTTGTTTACTAAAAGAGTTATCGCCCCTTAAATGGCTTAGTTAAAAAAAAATGATTCTAAAACACAAAATGTGTGGTATGTGTTTATATATTTTGCAATAAATCAGCAAGTTTTCTTCATATAAATAAACAGTCTAACCAATAAAATTGCACATCTGTTCACAAATTTGCAGGTTTGGGCAAATAACTAGACTGATTGTGTACTGCGATAGTACAATCCAAGATGGCGGTATACCATGAATCTACCTTAAACAAATATCAAATTTTGTGTTTTTAGAATCAATTTTATTCAAATAAGCCAATTTAAGGGGAGATAACTCTTTTAGTAAAAAATTTATACTGGGCTGATAGGGAAAATTTGAATTTTTACTTGTAGCAAGAAAACAAAATCGTTGACACCATTTTTTCTTTTTATTTGTCTTAAAACATATTATAAAACCTATCTTCCCACAATTTATTTCAAAATTCTATCTCATAGGTTTTTTTTTTTGCACACAAATGTGTTTTGTCATGAACAATCTAACCAAATTTAGGCAACTTTCATTGACTCATAGCTTGGATATTAAGATATGATTTCACGTCCACTCACGCATTCACGATGTCCTCAATCAGAATCGATCCCCTCACGCATGAAATAATGAAAATATGTAGTTTTTAGATTTATTAAGACGTCTATCAACACCTGACAGCGTACACGCCACCCAAAACGACATTAATACCCATTAACCGAAAAAAAAAACTAAATTTGAACTTGTAGGTCTGTTAATAGAACCATTTCAAAATTTAAATGTCACTTTTTTAGGCAATTTCTCGTGGGGCAACTGATTTTGTAGGAGTTTAACTCCATGTACAACAGTAAATGATACATGTATCTCTTCGTTAAAGTATTTACCACAGCATAGCATTCTCCGATTTTCAATATGTTGATCAGTTGAATTAGAAAATTGCAATCAAGAAATGTACATACCTTTTGAAGCGATGACAATTACTCCACTCAAGCACAACCGGAAAATCCTCTCACGATTTTCATTGCAGAACCAATTGTTCTGCGTGTGTAGATTACCAGCCGTGCATGTCTACAAAGGAAGAAGGCATTTGTTATCTGCCACTTGACTGGATTTCAGTGACACTTTTACAGAAGCTCTCTTGTCATTGTGTAGATCCTACTTTTTGTTGTCATTGATGCTGTCAGAATCTCTTTGTCCTCAGTCATGGTCCTGTTGTATAGTTTATATGTTTAAGTTTTTGAATAGGTCAGTTTAAGGGGAAGCACTAATATGAGTCATATTTATTTGGTATTCAATTGTGTGGGCATTGGCACACACATCTTATTTAAATGGAGAAATTATTTGAATTTGTCCGCTCCAATAACAAAACATGATCTTGGCTTATCTACAAAATGGATAAGCATCAAATATTCAACAACAAAAGCTTATAGATAATAATGTTGTATTGTTCTACCATTTTGTAAACCAAAAAAAATGTCTCAATTTGCTTGCAAGCTGTAGTTTGGTGATTTAACACTGATTAAGTCAGAATATTAGTTTTAAGCCACATATGTATTTGTCATCCGTCGTCCCTCAACTTTTACAAAAATCTTCTCTGAAACTACTACGCCAAATGGAACTAAACTTTGCCTCAATCCTCCTTTGTTTATCTAGTTTAAGAAATGTGTTTGATGATTCAGACTGCCATCCAACATTTCTTGAACAAACTCAGGTACATTAAAGATCAAAAAGTCAGGAAAGCCCAATATAAAACATTTAATCAGTGTCAAAACCTAAGTAGGTGTTAAATTATTAGCCAAAATTTAGATCTCTCAAATTAAGAAAAAACAAGTAGCAGTAAGGATTTTTGTCTTGCCTTGATGGAGTCAAAAAGCAAGACATAGGTATGATGTTCCCAGCGGCGTCAACAATGTATTAGTTTGTGATTAGGTCAGCTTTTGCTTAGTTTACATGTATTAGTTTGTGATTAGGTCAGTTTATGGGAAACCACTAGTGGTAAGTCAATAATATTTAATATGCATATGTATTAACATTGGCACATCTCATTTCCATGGAGATTGTTTGGCCCTGTACCTTCAGTCATGGTTCATTGACTTTGAATATTTTGCATAACTTACATGTTAAAGTATAGCTATTTTGATTTCAACATTTGCATTTTACTATCAAAATAACAAAAAGGCGAGACATATCTCTGTATCAACAGTTTATATTTTTTCTTACAGGAAAGAATTCAGGTGTTTACATGGATAGACAGAATAGCTGAAAACAATGAATTGATAAGACCTGCCATAGACCTGAAACGAAGATTGTTTGAAATGTTAGTAGAAGCAAATGCTACAGAAATCAGAGAATCAGGTATTCAGATTTAAATAGAGCACAGAGCATTGTATAGATGACTAAATGTGGATTCACATGACAGTGTTGCATGTATGCATTATCCATAACTTATTATACTTCCACGCATGGAATGGGTAGCATACTATTTACCTTGTTTGTCACTTTCATCACATATAACTCAGGTTCCTTATTATATTTAGTGTCGAATGAACATTGTTCACCTCATGTATCTTTTTAGCTCACCGGGCCCAAGGGCCCCATGTGAGCCTATGCCATCACTTGGCGTCCGTCGTCGTCGTCGTCTGTAGTCGTCGTTTGTCTTCGTAAACTATTTCAAAAATCTTCTCCTCTGAAACTACTGGGCCAAATACCTTCAAACTTTAATTAATTGTTCCTTAGGGTATCTAGTTTAGAAATTGTATCCGAAGTTTTGATCCATCGTCAAACATGGCCGCCATGGCTAAAAATAGAACATAGGGGTCAAATGCAGTTTTTGGCTTATATCTCAAAAACTAAAGCTTTTAGAGCAAATCTGACAGGGGGTAAAATTGTTCAATTGGTCAAGATCTATCAGCTCTGAAATTTTCAGACGAATCGAACAACCCATGGTTAGGTTGCTGCCACCGAATTGGTAGTTTTAAGGAAATTTTGCAGTTTTTTGTTATTATTTTGAATATTATTATAGATATATATAAACTGTAAGCAGCAATAATGTTATATCTTAAAAATTATAATAGATAGATAGAAACTTAAATTAGCAAAATGATCAGCAAGACAAGATCTACCATTGAGACAATGAAGAGGAATTTGTCTGACGACTCCTTATTGGAGTTATTGCCCTTTACTATTTTTTTTTTCGTTTTGCCTCACATAATAAAAATGATACTTGCCAACCCTCCCGTTTTGAGCGGGAGTCTCCCGCGCAAACGACGAAAATCCCGGAAATCTCCCACTTGCCAATCTGCTCCCACGCAGGGTTTCCAATAAATATTTGAGCCAGCCAGACATTTTATGTCTGAGACTAAGTAACAAATTAAAAGGCAATTATAGTAATCAATTGACATTAAAAAAACGATATTAAACTTTACTTTGATATAAATTCAATGTTCTGACGTTAACTGGTAAATTTAAAGTGCATCATTAGAAGTGTGCAACATCAGCGTACTAATATCTGCCTTAGACTCTTTATTTGTGCAAAATATCGTTGTCAAAAACTTTACTTTCGTTTTTTAAAAAGCACATTTTCCTAATGCTGGATGTTGACTTGACAATGGTAAAACATGGACCAGAGACGGATACGTAATTTCTGTGTACGTTTACAAAGCTTGATTGAGTTTAAGAGGCATTTTCCACGTTATTTCTTCAAGAAAATACTCGAAATGAACGTTAGATAAAGGTATCAATGATAATTTTAACATTTTTGAAGAATTAGGATGCATAATTAAATTTCCCACCTGCGCACATGTGCAAATGTGTACTAGTTCAAACAACGTGGTTCTGATGATTTTTCGTTTTGAACCTTTTTAAATTTTTCATCATATCATATTTATAAACGTATTTCTGATAATTTCAATTTTTTTGACTAAATTAATTAGATGCAGACCGATGAAATGTAAGAAAATAACTTTGAATAGACCGATCAATGTCCGGTACAAAATAGTTAACCTGTCACCTGAACAGGTAAATTTCAGCTGTCTGACAACTAATTAACCTTGTTTAAAATGAGAAGGTATTAAAGTAGGGTTTGTTTTGATAGTACTTATTCATCATGTCACTTTTATGACCGGAAATGTGTGGCTGTTTAAAGGCAAAAGGTCGGGTCAAAAAGATCGCATAAACTTTTTAAATTATGTTAAAATGTATTGATCGTCTCTTAAGAAAGCCTTGAAAACTAAAAGTAGATGTCCATTTCATGCTTTTCCCAGACGGACAATGTCCAATAAGTTTATAAATATCCGGAATATATGACCGTTTTGGAAGCCATGCTCCTGCCCTTGAGTATAGAATCTCCCGCTTTAGGATATTTTTACCTAGAATGACTGGCATTCGTAATTCTCTGGCTTTTTCATTACTGTCAATAGCAATAAATAAACAATTGGCGATCATTTGACTACTTTGGTCTAGTTTTTATGTTCGATTTATAAGTAATCAAAATTCATTTCTGCTATGTCAACTCCAACAAGATAGAGGTCTTTGTCTGGACCATACAGGAGTGTAAAAAAGAATAAATAGACATCTGCAAATCGAAATGTCAAGCAGAATTTGAATGAAAGATTTTCAATTTTTACGACCAAGTTTACTTGGCAACGAATCTTTATTTTGCACATCATGTTCAATCAAGTTTTCGGTTTCTTCTGATAGTCTGTACGACGTTTGAAAGCATGCTTAGTGTGAGATTCACAACAAAATCAAAATATGGAATGTTATGAATTATGAGACTCAAGAGACAGAGGTATTGAAAAAGGCAAAAAAAAAAAAAAACCTTGTAGAGATTATAACCATGAATTGAAGAAATAAAGTATATTTATTAACTCATATTGGTATTGGTGTTTTGTAGATGAATAAGTGAACAGGTCACATATTTAACTTGAAAATGTTGTTCGCGCAAAATCTCCCCCTCAGCTGTCATAGCTGAGGGGGAGATCTCCCTCTTTGAAGGTTTCAGAGGTTGGCAGGTATGAAAAATTATAATAGATAAATAGACACTTTAAATCACAAAAATGATCAGCAAGGCAAGATCTACTAACAAGTCAAATTTTGCCGATAGTTTGTAGACTGTCATTTTTTAGCTCACCTGGCCCAAAGGGCCAAGTGAGCTTTTCTCATCACTTGGCGTCCGTCGTCCGTCGTCCGTTAACTTTTACAAAAATCTTCTCCTCTGAAACTACTGGGCCAAATTTAACCAAACTTGGCCACAATCATCATTGGGGTATCTAGTTTAAAAAATGTGTCCGGTGACCTGGCCAACCAACCAAGATGGCCACCATGGCTAAAAATAGAACATAGGGGTAAAATGTAGATTTTGGCTTATGTCTCTGAAACCAAAGCATTTAGAGTAAATCTTACATAGAGTAAAACTGATTATCAGGTCAAGATCTATCTGCCCTGAAATTTTCAGACAAATCTGACAACCTGTTGGGTTGCTGCCCTTGAATTGGTAATTTTAAGGAAATTTTGCAGTTTTTGGTTACTATCTTGAATATTATTATAGATAGAGATAAACTGTAAACAGCAATAATGTTCAGCAAAGTAAGATCTACAAATAAGTCGTATGACCAAAATGGTCAGTCGACCCCTTTAGGAGTTATTGCCCTTTATAGTCAATTTTTAACAATTTTTCGTTAAATTTTGTAATCTTTTAAAAAAATCTTCTTCTCTTAAACTACTGAGACAAATTTAACCATACTTGGCCATAATCATTATTAGGGTATCTAGTTTAAAAAATTTGTCCGATGACCCCGCCTTCCAACCATCATGGCCGACTTGGTTATAAATAGAACATAGGGGTAAAATGCAGTTTTTGGTTTATATCTCTGAAACTAAATTATTTAGAGCAAATCTGACAGACAGGTGACAAAAATGTTCGTCAGATTTAGATTTATCTGCTCTGAAATTTTCAGACGAATCCGACAACCCGTTGTTGGGTTGCTGCCCCTGAGTTAGTAATTTTACAGAAATTTTGCAGTTTTTTGTTATTATCTTATTTATCATTATTATTTCTAATGTCTAATTCTTTTTATTATGATTTTAACCTTATTTTACATGATTTCCAAAGCATCAGTAAATACAGGTGAGCGACACAGGCTCTTGAGAGCCTCTAGTTATAGGAGTGATTGCCCTTAAATGAGGATTTGTTTACCCTCTTTTGTGTTTTGACCAAAAACTAAAGAAGATAGAGAGCAACTAAACAGACTAAGTGGTCAGCACTACAAGATCAACAAAACAGAGATTTTTGTCATGAATTTTATTCTCGTCCACAATGTTGGAGAGTGTCCATTGTTGAATATGCACATAGATCAAGGTGAGCGACACAGGCTCTTTAGAGCCTCTAGTTTATGGAAATTATATTTAGGTTTCACAGAGCTTTAAAGTGTCTTTGACGTATTAATATTATAGGGACACAGGATGTACTGATTTTGTAAACTCTATATCACAAACTTTCTGATTATTTTTACTTTCAGAACAGGCATTGAAACTACAGTCACAGATTTCTAAAGAATTAATTATTTTTGTATTATTATGTTCAGCGCATGCCTTGCTTATGCCATCTGAGAATGCCAGGAATTCTTTAAAGTTATTAATTTCTTCAGGTTTTGTTTTCAGGACAAGCATTGGCAGGTCCATCTGAAAATGCCAGAGAATTGATCAAATTTGTACGTTATTTTATGTTGACAGAACCCTCAGATGATAAATTCAGTGTTACTGTGAGTACAGACATTACCAGTTGTTGGCATGATACGGGTTATGTTCTTCTCATATATTTTATGATGGTATGATACTAAACCCCTAAAGGGAGGGATTGTACTTGATTTTCATATGATGAAGACATAATCTTTCAATCAGTTTGAGGTCTGGAGCTAGCATGTTAGTAACTGCTAGTGGTCCTTTGTTTATTTATGTATCATTGTCATTTTGCTTAGTTTCTTTTGTTACCTATTCTGACAACGGAATCGGACTTCTTTTAAACTGAGTTTTACTGTGCGTATTGCTATGTGTTTCTTTATTCTACATTGGCTAGAGGTATAGGGGGAGGGTTGAGATCTCACAAAACATGTTTAACCCCGCCGCATTTTTGCGCCTGTCCCAAGTCTGGAGCCTCTGGCCTTTGTTAGTCTAGTATGTTTTTTTAATTTCATTTATATGTTTTGGAGTTTAGTGTGACGTCCATTTTGACTGAACTAGCACACAATTTTATTTAGGGGCCAGCTGAGGACCACCTCCGGGTGCATGATTTTCTCGCTGCATTGAAAAGACCCATTGGTGGCCTTCGGCTGTTGTCTGCTCTTTGGTCGGGTTGTTGTCTCTTTGACATATTCCCCATTTCCATTCTCAATTTTATTAGATTACTCTGTTCGTTGCCTCTTTGCAAAAGCCTTTTTTTTTACACAAAAGGCAAACTTTATAGTGACTTGTAAATGAGTAAATATTCCAGATATTGAGACTCACAGATTTAGTATCCTTTCTCATGACTACTTGAAAATAATGAAAAATCTCATGGATTAATAAAAAGGTCATGAAATGTTTATTTGAAGTTGTCAAAAATAGTGTTGATCCTAAATTTCAACCTTTCAATTCATGTGAGATCTCACAAGAATAAGCATTTTCATTGAAACTCAAAAGAAATTCTGGTAGTTGTTCCAAATGAGCAAAAATTGACAATTACAGTCATAAGAAATATCTATCAATACCATATTTGTCCACATGCACTGAAGGTGTAATACCACCATTGATTTTCCCCTATTAGGCTTTGTTAAATTTGCACTTTTCAAAAAATTGTGCAGAATTTATCTTTGTTTCAAATAAAGAAATACTTGGCATGAGTAAAGTTTTATCCTGTCCAGTACTATAGAAAAAATTTCACATAACATTTCATTGCATATAAGAAAATAACCATCACTGGACGTTAACCAATCAAATTTTCCCCCTTTTTTAACCTGTGTACAAGCTTTAGTAACCATGTAACCTCAATTTTCCAAAATATTCTATAGAAACCCCAAATAAAGAAATAATGGTGCTTTGAAATACCCAAGATATATGTTTATGACTCAGAAATGTTTTACTGCAATTAAAATGTAGGATCAATTACCTACAACTGTCAAATTCAAGGGAATATTTTTTTTCGACCTATTTTCATATGCAACCGGATGTGACGTACTATGATTTGGTGGTATTACACCTAAAGAAGACTTTTTTGTTGAATAAACTGAATGTGACTTTTTTCCTTTGTAATACTGGTTATTTCAAGCATTCCTGTCAAGTTTTGTCATAATCAGTTCAATAGTTTGAGAAAAATCTAGTATAATGTAAGACGACATCTACAGCGATTCGAGCAAAATTTCTTCGAAAAATTCAAACCAAGCCGCATCATGATAGAATATAGTGTGGACCAATAAATGATCAAATATTTATCTCATCTGCCTACAAACAGTTGAATATGATACAAAAGATGACTTTAGGATGATAAATACTACTAATGGACCTCTTATTCTTCCTTATAAAGTCTCTTTTGGTCCATTTATACCTCTCATTTCCTCAAAATTTCTACTTTTTAGACCAATAAATAAAAATTTTGGGGTAACTTTCACTCATTTATGATAGAAATGTTATTATAAATGATTAATTGAAGTATTCAAGCTGCTTGAACTATCCGCATAAAAGTTTACTGTCTCCAAGGAGGTTTCAATAAGTCCTTGCGTAAAACTTAAATTTACGCCGCGTTCCAGAGAGGGACATAAAAAACTTCTCTTTTGGTGAATAATTTGTTGTTACTGCTTTAAAAATAATTTCATTTACTTAAAACTATATATTTATTAAAGTATTTCTTAGGAAAAATTTTCTAGTATAGCAGAATATAAGAAATAAGGAGAAAAAGCTCCCCAAGACTCTAAGTATGGCTTGTTCTGTCAACTAATATTCATGGTAAAGTCCTATTTCAAGGAAATTTTCTCATAAAATGTATTTTGGAGACTCAATCCACTCAGAATATTTCATTATTTGTAATATTTCACTTAAATAGCAAGAAATTTTAACACATGAGAGTACTCACAAGGTCAAAGGTGCATGTACAGCTTCCCATATTAGGTGTAATACCACCATTGATTTTCCCCTATTAGTCTTTGTTAAATTTGCACTTTTCAAAAAATTGTGCAGAATTTATCTCTGTTTCAAATAAAGAAATACTTGGCATGAGTAAAGTTTTATCCTGTCCAGTACTATAGAAAAAATTTCACACAACATTTCATTGCATATAAGAAAATAACCATCACTGGAAGTAAACCAATCAAATTTTCCCCCTTTTTTAACCTGTGTACAAGCTTTAGTAACCATGTAACCTCAAGTTTCCAAAATATTCTATAGAAACCCCAAATAAAGAAATAATGGTGCTTTGAAATACCCAAGATATATGTTTATGACTCAGAAATGTTTTACTGCAATGAAATGTAGGATCAATTACCTACAACTGTCAAATTCAAGGGAATATTTTTTTTCGACCTATTTTCGTATGCAATCGGATGTGACGTACTATGATTTGGTGGTATTACACCTGAACTTTTTTACGATTTCCACCAAAGATCTGGAAAATTTTCACACAATTTCGGTCATTTTGAGAAGACTTAAAAGTTGGGGCCATTTTTTCAAATTGTTGAAATCACACTGGTTTCATAGCATCAACGAACTTGTATTGACTGTTTCATCACATTTACTTGATGAATTTTCTAACCGTTTTTCTGAAAACTTTAAAGAACAGTTTATAGAATGCAACTGTTTAAAATTGAAATGATTTTCATGACTCAAAATGGTAAATTTCTCAGACATCGGTAACGTTTCTTTCGATTTTGAATACAAAATTAAATCCTGAATTTTTGCGACAATACTAAAGTACGAGTAATTCTGGATTCATTTCCAGCATTTGTTCTGTTTATCAAATTGACAGGAAATCACCAGATTTTTAATTTAATTACCTTTAAAGGTGTTTGAATATAACAGATAATAGTTGCACTTGTTTAATTTAGCATGAAATCATTTTGCATTTTACTATTAAGTGTCTTATCTGGTGAAGACAATTTCACGCATGCGTATACCATAGTAAATAAAGCACATGTTTAACTCCTGTATAATTACCTTTTCCACGTAAATTAAATCAAGTTTTAATTTTTAAATAAAACTGGACAATTGCTGGTTTAGCGATCATTAGCCAATATTTCCCGGAGGCATTAATATAGTTATTAGGAGGTCCCTCAGGATTATCATACTATACTGGAGTGTCAGTTTTATTACAGGAAAGGGATGACAAAATAAAAACAAGTGCAAAATGGCATTTAAGAAACTCGATCTCAATGAAATGACCGAAATTATTTCTGTAAAAAAATTAAATTTGTCCTAAATCCCAATCTGCTGTTTAGGACAAATAGCTTTCAGTTTAGGACATGACTGGCAAATATGACCATTTCTGGACCCTTGATTTCCACATAGCATTTCAATTTCTAGTTTATGTTAAAACATACATTTTACATTTATTTTTATGTTGTTGTTCTTTTTGGTATATTTTATCATTCGGGAAGTATTCGTAAATCTCCTGGTTCATATTTTAAACTTATTTTCCATTAAGTTCCTTACTTGGGACTGTGGTAGGATTAAACATGTTTATGAGTGCTCAACTTGAGTCAGGCACATATAGAAACATGTTTGTGAGTGCTCAACACTCCCCCTAACCTTAGACATTGATTGAACAGCACATCATAACAACAAACTGTAAAAATCAGTTTGAAACGGTTTGACTTATCAAATTGGCAAAAAGCAACAAAAAAATTAACTAACAAAAATACAAAAGACCACAAGTACCAATCTAAGAACGCAGGCATATGTTCCTTAATGCATGTAACATGAAACCTTTTTTTTTCAAGAAAACAATAGCTTTTCCAATTACTGATAATGATTTCTGTTACTTATTCTAAGCTTTGTAAATGAGGTTACTTAAGACTTATTATATTAATATGTATGAATCATGGTAAAAGAATGTAAAATAAACTAGTGATACCATATGAAAAAAGGAGATGTGGTATGACTGCCAATGAGACAATACCCAACAGAGTCCAAATAATGTGGATTCAACCAGTTATTGGTCATTGTACTGCCTTCAACAATGAGCAAAACCCATACCGTATAGTCATCTATATATAGGCCAATATTACATAATGTAAAACAATTCAAACAAAAAAACATACACCTTGATACAAGTTTAATTTTAAAAAAATGAATAAATAAATTAGTAAACCCTTAACTATTTATAAAAATGATTTGTGATGACTCTCGAAATAACACAAATTGTCTTGTTCTAGGTAGTAATAGCAGTTTATTATTTATTACAGTTGATAGAGGATGTTATGTCATTGATGGATAATCTGGCTGTCTGGGATGTAGAATCAGATGGAGGTTGGAAAGAAATGGCTCGACTTGGGTTAAATTTACTGATACTGTATGGTCAGTTTCCTGATGTTGAGGTAGGAACTGGTTTAACTTTGCTCTATTTTTGATAATGAATGAAAATTTCCTGAAAGTAAGAAGTGGTTTATGTAAATGGCTTCTAAGATGGTTGTATTTCCTGGTGATAACCTGCAAATTACATTTATGTCCACCTTGTTTCTGCTAAATGTGGGTTTGTCATTTTCACATAAGTAAGGAAAAATAATAATATTTAGGCAATCTTTTTGAATAAGGAAGACATTTTCAATAAAAAGTGTATTTATGTCTAATAAGGTGTGAAATTTAGGTATGCATTCCTAAGCTTTCAAAATGGAAAACAAAATTATACCATTACCCAATTATCATCTCAAGTATTTACTTGAAGAAATATGACAAGAATTACTGGTGACATCCCATTAGTTCGACAACCATTATTCCGACATCCCATTTCCGACAACCCATTACTCCGACAGCTTACTACTCCGACAGCCCAATATTCCGACAGCTCATTATTCCGACAATGCATCTGTCATAAGTGTATGGGTAAATTTTCTCCTAAAGACCAACTCTGTTCTTGATAATATTTGTGGTTGTCCGTTTAGATTCCGATTATTCTTCTCATACGGGATATTTGTCTTTTAATCTATAGGCCCTTCACCATCTTTGTGAATGTTTCAAACAATATTCATGACTCGAATGTAGTCTTTACTTCCTCTGGAAATTTAAGGGCTGTTGATCTATTATAAAGATCCAGAGCCCCTTTATTTTTCCTAAAATAGATTTTTTGCAAGGATCCCCTGATTATGCAAATTTTATGGCAATGACCAATTGTTAGAAATCTTAGAAATGTTCTTTGGTGGACTACATGTGATTTCTAAAAACAGAAGTCAGTGGTACGTTGTACAGCATCCTTATCGAGATCACCCAATCAGCTTAAATCATTATAATCATCTGAAATTCGTCTTTCTCATGACATTTCCTTCCAGTTACCCCGACTGCGAATGATGGCATATGTTACTCGTGCAAATTCTTATCTACAATATTTTTAAGTAACCAGAAAATCAAAACCAAACTTGATAAACTGCATTGAAGATGCTGGTGTCCTGTATGTTGAGTCCCACTTGGGACAAATTTTCAGTGAAATGGGCAACCGTTACAGTGTATATCATTCACATATATGAGACATGCAGATAGCATATTGCTATCAGTCTACAACAACAAAACATTCATTTATAGTATGTACAGATGTCATTGACGAACCAAAAAAATGGGCGTTTTCCTCATAACTACAATAAAATTAATTTAGTCTTTTTTTCTCAATATGTGTTTAACTCAGTTTAACTCTTGATTAAATTCAAGAAAGAAATCTAAGTTGTGCATCCCCGAAAATGGGAAATAAAACAACTTTGACTGTGAGCATTTTGGTTTCAATAAGGGCCTTTTTGAGTTGTAGATTTCAATTACCCGAAAATATATATACCTTAAGGCGCCGACCATTTATCGTTTGTGAGGGGTGCATGTTGTTTCTTAATTGTTTGATTTGAAAAAAAAAAATATTTGATTAATAAATACAGCCCCAAAAAGTGTTAAAATTTGAACGGAGATATAAGATATTCCAGGTACGGGTTATTTCGAGCTAGGGACATCTTGGACCAATGCAAACTGGGACTATTTCTTTATTGAATTTGATTGGCTGTCATGCTTGGACCACATCATGCAAACAAACAGTTGTATCCAAAGCTTCTGACAACATCAATATAGTTTTAAGGAGAAATTGTCCTGGGATCCTTAGCAAAAATGTTATATTTTTTCATGAAAGACAAGAAAATAGGAGAAACAGGGTAATTTGTCGTAAACTAGGCGTATATTCTTTTATTGAAAACATGTAAACGGAGCCTCCACAACCACTTACTTAAAAAAAGTCACGGGTCGTTGTTCTTAATGCATGGCTGTATGTATCACAATGGGGTTCTTTTTCATCTTTTATATTTTGGTGAAAACTACCATAACAAAACATAGGTTGTTTTAAATGAGACACTGAGTGGCCCATCTAATCCCTAAGGTGGCGGGTCGGATTTAGTCATATTGGAGCCACACAATGTCCAATATACAGAATATATTCTGTATTTTATAAAGCAAATCATATTTTGACCCCGCATAATTTGTTGAAAATAGTTTGATGAGAATCTGTATAAATAATTCCCTGTATAACGTAATTCAAATTCTGTATGGGGGGGGGTTATGGCTTAAACCGTTTAGGAATAAGGGGGAAAAACAAGGGTTTCTTGGTTAATGGACAATTAAAAGTACAATGTTATGTTTGGATTACCTCCCTTACACTGCTTTTAAATTATGTATAAAGAAATGTTGTATTGTCTTGAGGTGATTAGCTGTCAATTTATTTTTAGAAGTTACTATTTAAAAATGCTGATTAAAGAATTTGATTTAATAACATTATTTTTACCCCTGAATTTTTTTAGGTGTCCATGCTGTATTTTTAAAACCCTTGACTGAATACTTAGTTTAATGAACTGTTTTTATACCTGCGCCTGCTAGGCGAAGGGGGCATAAAGTGTTACCCTTGTCTGTCCATCCCATTTTGTATCTGCACTCTAGCTTGGAAATTGCTACTTTTTTCCTTTTCACACTGCAACTTGCCTCATGCAAATTTTATGAAACTCATACACAATGCTAAGAACCAAAACTGGGAGACAGAGTACAAAAATGGGCAGTGAGTCACTTTCTGTTCCAGAGTTATGCTCCTTTATAAATTGGAAAATTACAAATTTTTTCGTATTATAAGCTAGCTTGAGCAGGGGCATTTGTATCCTCAAAAGCATTCTTCTTTTTTTTTTTCTGAGCTCTTTACTTTTGTTGCTGATAAGTGAATAAAACTGTTAGATTTGAAATCCTTTTGTTTCTTTTTTCTTTTTACTTGAGCTGTCAACACTAATCTATGGCATGTATGGACATTCATGTATTTCCCATTATGTTAGTTTATATGACCAAAGCATGTACTACTGTTTGTCAGATTTTCTCAAATCTTCTCCTCAGAAACTACCGGGTAAATGGTTGAAAAATGTGTGGGATTGATTATTTGAATCACCTGTACAATTAATGTTGATTTGGTGGCAAACATTGTGTCATTAGTTGCACATAGATCCTATTGAAGTCCTTGGAAAATCACATTTTAATCATGTCTTTAGAATTATATAGGGTCAATTTTAAACAAACTTGGCCGGAATGATGTCAAAAATAGACTTGGTTTGCTCAGGACATAACATTTAGGAACAAAAGCACAGATTAATTTGCCCAGAGTAACATGAAACAGATAGCTTGACCCCGCTACAGAGTATAAATACCGGTAGCTTATTAGCAAGCATATGTAAAATCTGAAACAGTGAGTTTTCCTACCAAGGGTCCCGAATTGGTAATTTTGTAGGACATGTCCTAAACTGAAACCTGTTTGACCGAAATTGCAGATTGGGATTTAGGTCATGAAATTTTTTTACATAAATAATTTTGGTAATTTCATTGAGATCATGGATTTTTAATCATTATTTTGCACTAACATTTGTTTTGCAATGCTTATCTGCATCTCAGGTATAGTATAATTATACAGAGGGCTCTCCTAATTACCCTATTAATTGGCTAATGACAAATATGTTGTTGTCCCTGCTGATAATGTCCCAAACAATATCTTTTTTGTGGTAAATCACATTACTTAAACTGCTTGATAAATAAATTAGGTATTGACAATTCACTTGTAAACTCAACATATACCCCCACTACACTTACCAAGGAGGAAATCCTCGATAATCATAGGTATGTTCTATGTTCCTTTGGAATTTCAACCAAAGATAAAGAAGTGGATCTCCCGTCACTGTATTGGATACATTAATTACATAAGTGTCCTTACAAACTATGTCGTATTGCTGGGACTTCCAAGTGCTCCACGAAACCTCTTTTTAAATTATTAACATCAATTTTATCAGCAATCAAAGCCAGGCTTCAAAGTTATTGTGAAACTACATATTCTAGAGGTGGCTTGAATCAGATGTTGATACTAAAACATTCCAAAGATCTATAGATCTTTTAGAGTATAAACAATCTAAGACTCTTTCGTCTTGATACTAATGTATTTCATATATATGTTTGCATTGTGCTTTTTCAACTAATTTTTGTATCGCCTTGACGGAGTCAAAAAGCGAGACATAGGTATGCTGTTTCCGGCGGCGGCGACGGCAGCGTCAACAATGTATTAGTTTGTGATTAGGTCTAGTTCATGGTGAACCACTAGTGGTAGGTCAATGATATTTGGTATGCAGTTGTATAAGCATTGGCACATCTCATTACCATGGAGATTATTTGGCCCCGCCCCCTCAGTCAAGGTCTATTGACTTTGAAACTTTTCATAGTTTACATGTATTAGTTTGTGATTAGGTCAATTTATGGGGAACCCCTAGTGGTAGGTCAATGATATTTGGTATGCAGTTGTATAAGCAACGGCATTTCTCATTTCCATGGAGATTATTTGGCTCCGCCCCCTTAGTCATGGTCTATAGACTTTGAAAATTTTGCTAAGTTAACATGTATTAGTTTGTGATTAGGTCAGTTCAAGGGGAACCATTAGTGGTAGGCTAATGTTAATTGGTGTTCAGTTGTATATAAGCATTAGCACATCTCATTTCCATGGAGAATATTTGGCCCCGCCCCCTCAGTCATGGTCTATTAATTACTTTGAAACTTTTGCTTAGTTTACATGTATTAGTTTGTGATTAAATCAGTTTAAGATGGACTGCTAATGTTAAGTCAATGATATTTGGTATGCAAATTTATTGACATTTGCAATTAAAGTATTGTTTCCATGGAGATTATATAGCACCACCCCTGATCATGGTTCATTGACTTTGAAACTTTTACATAGTTTACAAGTTAATGTTTGTGTTTAGGTTTGTTTAAAGGGAACGACTTATAATAAGTCAATGGTATTTGGTATGCAGTAGTATAAGCATTGGCACATCTCTTTCCATGGAGATTGTTTAGCCATGTACCTTCAGTCATGGTTCATTGACTTTGAATATTTGCATAACTTACATGTTAAAGTATTGCTATTTTAATTTCAACATTTGCATTATCAAAATTACAAAAAGGAGAGACATATCTCTGTGATAACAGTTTATTGTTCATGCTTATTTATGATGAGGGCCTCAGGGAATATTAGTTATATAGCTAACTTGATAACCCTCTTAAAATAAAGTATTGTTGTTGTTGTTGTTGTTGTTATTGTTATTAAAACATTTGACTTTTCCACACTTTATACAAGTATTTCCCATTTCCAAACTAAAGACAAATTGAAAGAGTTGGTCCTGCTTTGTTTCATAGAATAGAATGGCCAACATAGATACAAGTATCTTGTCTTCTGGAGGGATAAATTCTACTTTGAATAAAAAATTTCTCTTCAAACAATCAGCATTCCCATGGGAACCAACTGTGCTCCGATTCTTGCTGACTTGTTCCTTTATTCATATGATGAGGCTGACTTCATACAGGAGCTTCTTGTGAAGAAAGAAAAGAAGTTAGCATTATCCTTTAACTTCATTTTCCGCTAAATAGATGATGGTCTATCACTGAATAATTAAAAGTTTGGTGACAATGTTGAATGCATCTGTCCCATCGAACTTGAGATAAAGGATACAACAGATACAGTTAAGTCTGCCTAATATCTTGACTTATATCTAGAAATTGATAATGGCTTGTATTTCCTATCATGATTTCCTTGCTGTTCACATGGAAGCTATTAAACCAAGAGTTCCAAGAGGTGAAGTTGAAATCATCCTTTATAAATTATATGCACCCCATCATAAGTTGGTTGACCGTTATGAAATATGTTTCACAGATGATAACGGATACGTTCTAATTGTAGTAACCACAATCTCATCCTCTTACCCCTGAATGTGACCTACCGAATTAGACTTATCACTGGGTTTGTACTTACATGAGCAACACAACGGGTGCCATATGTGGAGCAGGATCTGCATACCCTTCCGGTGCACCTGAGATCTCATATCAATACCTTCCTGATGGTAATAATCAAGCTCAGAACTAATATTATAAAGAAAGTCTATTCCATGAGAAGTTACTTCATTATCTGATAACTATTCAGCAAAGATAATCGCTAATTCCGATTTGAAAAAATAAAACTTTTATTATATTATGAAAAAAAAGTATTTGTTCAAAGTCAAACATGTGTTTTATTTACTTTATAATATGCATGTTTGCAAGTGTCCTCACCAGATTCAACACATTGTTGAAAGATGCAAAATGATTTAATGCCAAACTAAAGAAGGGAAGCTATTCAAACACTTGAACAGGTCATAAATGAAAAAATACAATGATTTCCTGCTATTTGATAGAACTGAAGAACTCTGTAGATGAATTCAGAATAACTTGTTATTTATTATTAACTTGAAACTTTGGGATTTTATTTCGGTTCTCAAAATTGAAAGTATTTTTCTCAGGAATTACAGATAAAGGCTTCCTAAAATTTTATATCAGTCTTCATGCTATAACATGGAATGCTGTTTCATTTCATCAAACCTCAACTTCCTGTTTAATGAATACTTATATATTCTAACACATAATTGCCATGTATGAAATTTTTGTTGCATTTTTCCTGGGAAATACAAAATACAGCTTTCTGAAAATTGTTATCAACTTCCTGTTTACCAATTTCAATGAAAGGAGGTGTCATTAGTGAGCAGTAGCTCACAGTTTTACTTGTTGTTACTTAATGTTAAGTCAATAAAAAGTGTTTATGGTTAACTTTGACTGTTCTGTATCTAGTTCAAACTAACTTCTGGTTCTATTTTATAGTTATGTGCAGTAGCAGCTGCAAAACTTCACATGTTGGTACAAACAAAACTCATCTCTAGTTCAGCTGAAGCATCATACCTGATTGGAAATTTGAACAACACTATACAACAGGCAGTGAAAGGTATTTTTATAATACTCATAAATTTGTAGGTATAATATTATTTTTTGCAAATTCCATAATTGACCATGTAAAAAGCCATCCATTTGTACCAGTTGTTACCTGTGTCGCCAAAGGCGGAAGCAGGTCTAGTTATTGCTCCATCAATCCTTCCGGCCTAAAGAAAACTTTTGTCAAAGTTTTCTAGGCCAACATTGGCCAATATGAAAGGGAATGATTTAATATTTGGTCTGCAGCTTGATAACTTTGAGTTGCAGCTAGTAAACAGTTCTTGATGCTGATTACGGTAATTTGTGATCTCTCAAATATAAGCATAACTGAATTTTGGAAATGCTCATAACTGTTCTAGATGTTTATAAAAGAGTCTGTTAACAATTGAGATGATTTCAATTTTGCTCCACCCAAGGAAGGTAGCCTTGAACAGTGTTGAACAGATTGTACACCAAACTCAACATTAAACTGCAACAGTATTGTCACAAAATTTTGGCAAACTATCATCATACTTTCCCAAAATTCAAGTTTATTTAAAACTACTAAAACTTACATTCATAAGTATTGTTATTGTTATGATTTGTATTGCAAGGTAATTTTTTTATACGGCCACAAAAGATTTTTGCGATCGTATATTGGTTTGACGTTGGCGTTGGCGTTGTCGTTGTCGTCGTCGTCCGAAGACACATTGGTTTTCGCACTATAACTTTAGTTTAAGTGAATGGATCTCTATGAAATTTTACCATAAGGTTCAATACCACAAAAGGAAGGTTGGGATTGATTTTGCGGGTTATGGTACCAACAGTTAAGGAATTAGGGGCAAAAAAGGGGGGAAAACAAGGTTGTCCTGGTTAATGGACAAATACTTTAGTACAAAACATAATTTAAAGCAGTGTAAGGGAGATAAATCAAATACATCATTTGAATAACCTCCCTTACACTGCTTTTAAATTATGTATAAAGTAATGGTTAATGAACAATTAAGACAATTTAAAAAAGTGTAAGGGAGGTAATCCAAATACAATGTTTTGATTACTTCCCTTACACTGCTTTTAAATTATGTTTAAAGAAATGCATATTTATAAAGGAAGATCAGTAAAAATATCTGCAAATGTTGTATCTTTTTTAGCTCACCTGACCTGAAAGGTCAAGTGAGCTTTTCTCATCACTTTGCGTCCGTCGTCCGTCGTCCTGCGTCCGTCGTCCGTAAACTTTTACAAAAATCTTCTCCTCTGAAACTACTGGGCCAAATTTGACCAAACTTGGCCACAATCATCATTGGGGTATCTAGTTTAAAAAATGTGTCCGGTGACCCGGCCAACCAACCAAGATGGCCCCCATGGCTAAAAATAGAACATAGGGGTAAAATGTAGAATTTGGCTTATATCTCTGAAACCAAAGCATTTAGAGCAAATCTGACATGGCGTAAAATTGTTTATTAGGTCAAGATCTATCTGCCCTGAAATTTTCAGATGAATTGGACAATCCGTTGTTGGGTTGCTGCTCCTGAATTGGTAATTTTAAAGAAATTTTGCCGTTTTTGGTTATCTTGAATATTATTATAGATAGAGATAAACTGTAAACAGCAATAATGTTCAGCAAAGTAAGATCTACAAATAAGTCAACTTGACCAAAATGGTCAGTTGACCCCTTAAGGAGTTATTGCCCTTTATAGTCAGTTTTTAACCATTTTTCGTAAATTTTTGTAATCCTTTACAAAAATCTTCTCCTCTGAAACTACTAAGACAAATTTAACCAAACTTGTCCCCAATCGTCATTAGGGTATGTAGTTTAAAAAATGTGTCCGATGACCCCGCCCGCGAACCAAGATGGCCGACATGGCTAAAAAATAATACATAGGGTAAAATGCAGTTTTTGGCTCATATCTCTGAAACCAAAGCATTTAGAGCAAATCTGATGAGAATAAAATTGTTCATTAGGTCAAGATCTATTTGCCCTGAAATTTTCAGAGCAATCAGGCAACACGTTGTTGGGTTGCTGCCCCTGAATTGGTAATTTTAAGAAAATTTTGCCGTTTTTGGTTATTATCTTGAATATTATTATAGATAGAGATAAACTGTAAACAGCAATAATGTACAGCAAAGTAAGATCTACAAATAAGTCAACATGACCAAAATTGTCAATTGACCCCTTAAGGAGTTATTGCCCTTTATAGTCAATTTTTTACAATTTTCATAAATTTTGTAAATTTTTGTAAATTTTTACAAAATATTTTCCACTGTAACTACTGGGCCAAGTTCATTATAGATAGAGATGATAGTAAGGAGAAAGAATGTTCAGTAAAGTAAGATCTACAAACACATTACCATCACCAAAACACAATTTTGTCATGAATCCATCTGTGTCCTTTGTTTAATATGCACTTAGACCAAGGTGAGCGACACAGGCTCTTTAGAGCCTCTAGTTTTTTTTTACAAAAAAATCCATTTGAAAGATTTGACACCATATTTTAAATTCTATTATAAAATAGATAAAGTTAGCACTATATAGCACTATGGTAAATTTAAATGGGTAATAATGGTTGCAAACTCCATTGGAAATTTGAATTGAGATTATGACCATATCTTGAGGGAAAGAATTTTTTTTTTGGGGGGGGGGGGGGGGGTAAAAAGAAATTGTGGGGAGTCAATTTTTTCACCTTCAGATTTCAGAAATTAAAAAGAATTATTCTTCAAATATTTTTTTTTTTTTCAAATTTCAAATATTGAAAAATTTCAAGAAGTAATCTTTAATTGCACAGTGTGGCGCATTAGATTTGTAAAATCTTTGACCACATTTATTTATTTGTTATGCCGAATCTAACCATTATTTAGATTTTTAATTTTGGGTCCAGTTTTCAAATTGGTCTACATTAAGGTCCAAAGGGTCCAAAATTAAACTTAGTTTGATTTTAACAAAAATTGAATATATGGGGTTCTTTGATATGCTGAATCTAAACATGTATTTAGATTTTTGATTTTGGGCCCAGTTTTCAAGTTGGTCCAAATTGGGGTCCAAAATAAAACTTTGTTTGATTTCAACAAAAATTGAATTTATGGGGTTCTTTGATATGCTGAATCTAACCATGTATTTAGATTTTTTATTTGTGGGCCCCGCTATCAAATTGGTTCATATTGAGGTCAAAAGGGTCCAAAATTAAACTTTGTTTGATTTCATCAAAAATTGAATTATTGGGGTTCTTTGATATGCCAAATCTAACCGTGTATTTAGATTTTTAATTTTGGGTCCCGTTTTTATACGACCGCAAAAAAATTTTGCGGTCGTATATTGGTATGATGTTGGCGTCGTCGTCGTCCGAAGACACATTGGTTTTCGCACTCTAACTTTAGTTTAAGTCAATGGATCTCTATGAAATTTTACCATAAGGTTCAATACCACAAAAGGAAGATTGGGATTGATTTTGGGGGTTATGGTACCAACAGTTAAGGAATTAGGGGCCAAAAATAAGCATTTTTGTAACTTCCAGACATAACTTGTGTGTTAGTGTATGGATCTCTCTGACATTGTACCACAATGTTCCATATCACAAAGGGAATGCTGGGATTGATTTTGGTTGTAATTGCCTCAAAATTTTTTAAATTAGGGGCAAAAAAAGGGCAAAAAACAAGCATTTTTTCTAGTTTCATGACAATAACTTGTGTGTAAGTGTATGGATCTTTCTGAAATTGTACTACAAGGTTCCATATCACAAAGGGAAAGCTGGAATTGAGTTTGGGGGTAATTGCCCAAAATGTGTAGGAATAAGGGGCCAAAAATAAGCATTTTTCTAGTTTCATGACAATAACTTGTGTGTAAGTGTATGGATCTTTATGAAATTGTACTACAAAGGTTCCATATCACAAAGGAAAAGCTGGGTTTGAGTTTGGGGGTAATTGCCCTAAACATTTAGGAATTTGGGGGCAAAAAGGGGAAAAAAAACAAGCATTTTTCTAGTTTCCAGACAATAACTTGTGTTCAAGTGTATGGATCTCTCTGAAATTGTACTGCAAGGTACCATACCACAAAGGGAAGGCTGGGATTGAGTTTGGGGGTGATGAATCATAAGGGGGTTAAAAAAATTTGGGGGGAGGGATTTTTTTTTTTTCTTTAAAAAATATCCATATTAAATTGGTTATTTCTGATTTATATATAAAAGCAAATAATAATGATATGGTTTGAATAGGTAAATTAAAAGTTTATAAGTTCTTAGACCACATTCATTCTGTGTCAGAAACCTATGCTGTGTCAAATATTTAATCACAATCCAAATTCAGTGTGTATCAAGCTTGAATGTTGTGTCCATACTTGCCCCAACTGTTCAGGGTTCGACCTCTGCGGTCGTATCAAGCTGCGCCCAGCGGAGCATTTTATTTAAATTGGTCTACATTAAGGTCCAAAGGGTCCAAAATTAAACTTAGTTTGATATTAACAAAAATTGAATTCTTGGGGTTCTTTGATATGCTGAATCTAAACATGTGTTTAGATTTTTGATTATGGGCCCAGTTTTCAAGCTGGTCCAAGTTGGGGTCCAAAATTAAACTTTGTTTGATTTCAACAAAAATTGAATATATGGGGTTCTTTGTTATGCTGAATTAGCCATGTATTTTGATTTTTGGGCCCCGTTATCAAATTGGTCCACATTGAGGTCAAAAGGGTCCAAAATGAAACTTTGTTTGATTTCATCAAAAGTTGAATTCTTTGGATTCTTTGATATGCTGAATCTAACCATGTATTTAGATTTTGGATATTGGACCATAATAGGTAAATTAAAAAATTTTAAGTTCTTAGACCACATTCATCCTGTGTCAGAAACCTATGCTGTATCAAATATTTTATCACAATCCAAATTCAGAGCTGTATCAAGCTTGAATGTTGTGTCCATACTTGCCCCAACTGTTCAGGGTTCAACCTCTGCGGTCGTATCAAGCTGCACCCAGTGGAGCATTTTATTTAATTTAAAAAAAAAAAGATTGAGTACAACAGTAACAGGCTATAATTTCAGACAACTGCCATTTTGATTGAAAAATTAATTTTTGAGCCACTTGTTTCAGACAGCAGATTGATTTTAGTGCCGAATAAAACAAATGTCCTTGATTCCATTTAATAGATGTTAACTCTTATAGTAAAGACACATAACTGTTCAACATTAATGATGTATGAATATTTGTTTTAATAACAGAAAAGATATTTCAATGAAGGCAGTGAACATTTCTTTCTTCTGTTTTAGAAAAGACGGACAACTATTCCTTCCTAATCACAGTGATGAAGGCCTTAATAGAGAAAGCTCATACATTATTATCACTGGATATGCAGCTACCAAATTTGCCTACACTGTCCAGAAGTCCAACATTTTTCGATGATTTTAAAACTTACTGTTTCTCTGAAGAATGGAAAATTTTTATGGAAAACTATGTAAGTTGTTAGTCAAGTTTTAGTACAGGCAAGCCTAAAATATACCATTTCAATCTCATTTCTAGTTCCAAACATTTGTGTTTTTATTGTCCCCAGTTTAGCATGAAATTACCTAACCAAGTTTTGGGTAATTGCCCATTCAGGGTTTGTAAAAACTAATATATCACATGCTGGGGCATTATATATGTATTACAGACAGAATAAGTAGTATGTCTCCCCTTTGAGGAAGGATTATCAACAAAAGGAGAGATTACAGTGGATTAACAGACAAATAAATCAACAGTATATCATAATATGTCTTTGAGGGCCTTTAAACTGGAATTGTTTATATAATAAAAAATTATTTACAGATATGCAGTAATTAAATGTATCTACAGATATCCAATAACCAAAAATATCTACAGCTATGCAACAATTTAAATATACAGTAACCAAACATTATCCCCAGATATACAGGAACATTGATAAATGAATCTAAAAAGAAAAGCTATCTTGAATCATTTTTGACTGATAATGTTATAAATAAAGGTATTGATTAAGTTTATTATTAAAACAGGTAACACCACAAATGGAACACTTTACAGAAAGTGCCTTCAATGAAGTAGATCAAGCTACAAAAGATTTCTGGTCAGATTGTAAAGAGGCCATGATGGTGAACCTTCACAAACGTAATAGGGAGCGAGGGGAAAGTAAATTAAAATTTCAGGTCAGAACATACTCAAATTTTAAATGTCATATGTGGAATTGTTAACAAAATACAAAATAACGATCTCAAACTAGTAAACCAGTGAAAGTAAACACATTTGTGCAATCAATAGTTTCGTATCCAATACTAGGGGATTTTCCTAGAATGGGGGGAATTACCTGTTTTTACATACTTGGTGAAAAGATTAAAACATGAGAAATGATTAGAATGATTTAAAAATTAGAATGAATATACCATCTGTCAGGTTTTTTTTGCATGTGTTTAAATGTTGCTTTGTTCATGGCAGCTAAAGAAACGTGAAAAGTTTCCCCACATATTTCTAGATTTACTGCTGTTTTAATGTTGCATACATAAACTGTATATTATCGAGTATACACGAAGTTGATATGTATACACTGTTTTCACCCTAAAGGAGAAATTACTTCATATGTAAAATCAGTATCTTGTGTTAACCAACAGATCACAAGAATGTACATATTTAATTAAGATCTCTGTTTTCATAATAATTAAGTTGGCTAATCATACCTGTCAGACCTTTGACAACACAGCAATCATTGAAAATTTGCCTGTATCATGCTGACATGGGTATACTGAAGACCTGATTTCTAGTTTTTGTCCCCTACAATTCGGACCACCAGGGGATATGATAATTTTCCTGTCTGTCCATCCATCCATAATACATCAATACTTAGAGAAATTTTTACATCCTACTCGGTAGGATTGTTTGTCATAGTATTTCCTTGACAAAGCTATATCGTCATTTTGATTTGACAAATTTTATGGGAGTTATGGGACTTTTACCATTTTTGCTTTGATTTTTTGTGCTCACTCCAAATTTTAAGATGGTGCAGAATTATGAGTTTTAGACATATCATGAAATTACTGATGTGTTTTATTACTTGCAGAAACTTTATACACTATTTTAATCATCTACTGCCAACTCTTGACATTTTATTGTCCCCCATGTGACGTGTTGCTTTTGCCTTCACATGTACAATTCTTGCCAGATTTTCAATCAGTACTGATCAACTACTTTTAAAAGAGTTATGCCCCTTGTAAACAAAAATGATATGGGAAATTGCATTGTTAGCGCTCTCATGTGTACAATTCTTGCCAGATTTTTATGAAATTTATATTGTAGGTTTATATCAGCAATGTATCGGACGAGTTCGAAAATCAGTGCTGATCATTCAATTTTATAAGAGTTATGTTATTAGAAATATTTTTATATATGGTTAATTGCATTGTTAGCGCTCTCATGTGTTCAATTTTTGCCATATTTTTATGAAACTTATATAATAAGTTTATATCAGCAATGTCTCGGACATGTTCGAAAATCAGTGCCGATCAGTTATTTTTAATAGAGTTATGCCCTTAAAAATATTAATTACATGGAAATTTGCATTGTAAGCACTCTCACATGTACAATTTTTGCCAGATTTTAATCAAATTCATATCAGAGGTTTATAACAGCAATATCTCAGACAATTTTGAAAATAAGTGCTGATCAAATGTTTTTAATGAGTTATGCCCCTTGGAAGTCTCAAATATATTGGAAATTGCTCTCAAGCCTTCAACTTTCTAAGATAATTTTAATTCATATATCCTATCATGATTTCCTTGATAGAGGGTTACTGCTCACAAGGAAGCTATTAAACCAAGTGGTGAAGTTGAAATCATCCCTTCGTAAATTTTACGGACACCATCACGAGTTGGTTGACCGTTATGGAATAACCGTTTCACAGATGATATCAGATATGTTCCTTATGTCGTAATTACAATCCACTTCCTTTTTCACCACGAATGTGACCTACCGAATTAGACTATTTACCAGATTTGTAATAACATGAGCAACACGAAGGGTGCCACATGTGGAGCAGGATCTGCTTACCCTTCCGGAGCACATGAGATCCCCCCCCAGTTTTTGGTGGGGTTCGTGTTGCTTAGTCTTTAGTTTTCTCTGTTGTGTCTTGTGTACTATTATTTGTCTGTTTGTGTTTGTGTTTTTATTTTTTAGCCATGGCATTGTCAGTTTATTTTCGATCTATGAGTTTGACTGTCCCTCTGGTATCTTTCGCTCCTCTTTTAAAAAGTGAAAGAAAAAATTATTGCCCTTTGACAGATAAAATATGTGCAACTCGTGGGACATTGGAACTCTGTTCTTTTATTTCCCCTTAAATTAAGAAAAGAGAGGTCAAACAGCTACTAAATTTAAGATATACACTTGCATATAGTTACTTTGTGTCAAGGTTTTATGTATTTGCCTATGAAAATATCTGTTCTACAGATGGTTAAGATGTTAAAGGGGACAAGCCAACCTGTACTACAACTTCCAGTCAGTGGCATATAATAATGATAATAAATTCTTTATTTAAAGAGGGTAACTCAATTAGAAGTAGTCTAATTTTCATTGAGGCCCTCAAACAAAATACATGTATACAGTTAACATTCATACATTAAAATACAATATATATTACTAGTATATACACAATTCAATCATTCAAACATACAAATGGCAATAATTGGTAAAGTTTTGATTAAATTTTCTTATTCTTACAATAAAAGAAAGAAAACAAATTATTCGACTTGCATAGAATTTTCAAGAAAATGATTATAACAATGTTTCTTAAATAATTCCACATTTCGACAATTTTTTATTTTGAGTGGTAAATTATTCCATACCTTTGTTGCAGAATAATGAAAAGATTTTTTATAAAAATTTGTATTTGGTCTTGGAACAAATAGATGATTATTAGAGACAGATCGTAAGTTGTGGTGTTGCACATCATTAATATTTAGCATTGTTAAGTAATCAGGTGTTAGTCCATTTACAATTTTATAAATTAGAATTGATTGTTGGTATTTTATTCTTTTTGTAAAAGATAGCCATTAAAGATGAAAACATAAAATTAGATGGAACAGAAATATCGCATTCAAGTATAATTCTTGCTACTCTTTTTTTAAGTTTTATGATTCTATCTGAATCTTTTTGTAATAAATTTCCCCAAACTGAACTACAATAGTCTGAAATTGTCATACAAGGTTCCATATCACAAAGGGAAAGCTGGAATTGAGTTTGGGGGTAATTGCCCGAAACGTTTAGGAATTGGGGGCCAAAAAGGGGCCAAAAAACACATTTTTCTAGTTTCCAGACAATAACTTGTGTTCAAGTGTATGGATCTCTCTGAAATTGTACTGCAAGGTACCATACCACAAAGGGAAGGCTGGGATTGAGTTTGGGGGTGATGAATCATAAGGGGGTTCAAAAAATTTGGGGGGGGGATTTTTTTTTTTTTCCTTTTTTTTCTTTTTTTCCTTTTTTTTTTCTTTTAAAATTTTCCATTTTAAGTTGGTTATTTATGATTTATATTTAAAAGCAAATAATAATGATATGGTAGGAGATACACACCAAACAGGATGTGTAAATTATTATATAATAAGTATTGTGCAATAGCAAGAAATTTTCAATTGCACAGTATTGCACAATAGCAAGAAATCTTCAATTGCACAGTATTGCGCAATAGCAAGAAATATCCAATAGCACAATATTGCGCAATAGCAAGAAATTGTCAATTGTGCAGTATTGCGCAATAGCAAGAAATATTCAATTGCACAGTATTGTGCAAAAGAAGATACTTTGTATAAATTGCTTATTTCTTGACCAATTTCAATGGGGATTTTGGGCCCCGTTTTTAAATTGGTCCACATTGAGGTCCAAAGGGTCCAAAATTAAACTTTGTTTGATTTCATCAAAAATTGAATTATTGGGGTTCTTTGATATGCCGAATCTAACCGTGTATTTAGATTCTTAATTTTTGGTTCCGTTTTCAAATTGGTCTACATTAAGGTCCAAAGGGTCCAAAATTAAACTTAGTTTGATTTTAACAAAAATTGAATTCTTAGGGTTCTTTGATATGCTGAATCTAAACATGTATTTAGATTTTTGATTATGGGCCCAGTTTTCAAGTTGGTCCAAATCGGGGTCCAAAATTAAACTTTGTTTGATTTCAACAAAAATTGAATATATGGGGTTCTTTGATATGCTGAATCTAACCATGTATTTAGATTTTTGATTTTTGGGCCCCGTTATCAACTTTGTCCACATTGAGGTCAAAAGGGTCCAAAATTAAACTTTGTTTGATTTCATCAAAAATTGAATTCTTGGGGTTCTTTGATATGCTGAATCTAACCATGTATTTAGATTTTGGATATTGGACCATAATAGGTGAATGTCCAATTTAAAATTTTTAAGTTCTTAGACCACATTCATTCTGTGTCAGAAACCTATGCTGTGTCAAATATTTAATCACAATCCAAATTCAGAGCTGTATCAAGCTTGAATGTTGTGTCCATACTTTCCCCAACTGTTCAGGGTTCGACCTCTGCGGTCGTATCAAGCTTCGCCCTGCGGAGCATTTTATTAAAGTTTACCCAATCTTTTTTTGAATGATACAAATTTCTGTATTGAATGGAATTTTTAATTTCTTCATTGAACCATTCGGCTTGTTTAAATGTTTTTACTCTTTTAGTTTTCATTGGTGCGTGCTTGTTAATAACTTGATTAAAAAGTTCATACCATTTGTCGACAGAAATATCAATATCTTCACCCATTTCAACAATATGAAAAGGAGTTTGATGTAAGTCTGCACAATAGGCATCTTCATTAAAGTTTTTGAAACACCTATACTTTATTTCGATATGATTTTCTTTCTTTACCTTTATATTGATTTTTCTATTTAAGCATACAGGGTAGTGGTCACTTAAAGCATATGAAGGAACATGACAATGAGCAATATTTTCAGGATTAGTAGTGTAAATATGATCAATAAGAGTTTCTGATTTGTCACAAATACGTGTTGCAGTGCAAATTTGTTGTTGAAGATTAAAATGGTTTATGAAATTCATCCATTTTTTATTTTCAATTTTCATCAAGTCAATATTAAAGTCCCCCATTAAAATGATCTATCCAGGACTGAAGGGAATTTGGTGGTCTATAAACAGTACAAATGAAGAAAGGTTTAGATTTTGGAAATTCTACCTCTAACCATAAAGTTTCTAATGTGTTTATTGATAAATCAGATCTATTTTTAACTGCAATAGAATCTTTGACATAAACCAATAGACCACCATCATAAACATACAATAACTTCCATTATTCAGAAGTTACAGTATGGCAAGTTATTAGTTTCCCCCAAATGTGCTTCCTATTGAAAAAATGAAAACGAAGAAATATGTACAAATTCTTTCATTTTTATACGACCGCAAAAAATTTTGCGGTCGTCTATTGGTATCACTTCATTGTCGTCGTCAGCGTAGTCCGAAGACACTTGGTTTCCAGACAATAACTTTAGTAAATGAAAATAGAAATCTATGAAATTTAAACACAAGGTTTATAACCACAAAAGGAAGGTTGGGATTGATTTTGGGGGTTATAGTCCTAACAGTTTAGGAATTAGGGGCCAAAAAGGGGCCCAAATAAGCATTTTTCTAGTTTCCAGACAATAACTCGTGGAACAGTGTATGGATCTCTCTGAAACTATACCACAAGTTTCCATACCACAAAGGGATGGTTAGGATTGGCCTTGGGGGGTTATGGCTCAAACCGTTTAGGAATTAGGGGCAAAAAAGGGGGAAAAACAAGGGTTTTCTGGTTAATGGACAATTAAAAAAAAGTACAATGTTATGTTTGGATTACCTCCTTTACACTGCTTTTAAATTATGTATAAAGAAATTTTGTATTGTCTTGAGGTGATTAGCTGTCAATTTATTTTTAGAAGTTACTATTTAAAAATGCTGATTAAGAAATATTAATTTTAGCCATGATTATGTATGTCATTTTCTATTTTAAGACTTTTATGATGTATTTAAATGGGTAATTATGGTTGCAAACTCCATTGGAAATTTGAATTGAGATTATGACCATATCTTGAGGGAAAGAATTTTTTTTTTTTTTTTAAAAAAGGGGGTAGAATGTGAAAAAAAATTGGGGGGGGGGGGGGGGACAATTTTTTCTCATTTCAGATTTCAGAAATTAAAAAGAAAATTTCTTCAAATATTTTTTTTCTGCAAAAAAAAAAGGGGGGGGGGGGGTTAAAAATGTAAAAAAAAAATTTTTTTTGGGGGGGGATCAATTCGCAACAGCATAGTGTATTACACAAAAGCAAAAAATTGAATATAAATTAAAATCATATAACCAATTCTAAGTTCTTTGACTGTGTCAGAAACCTATTATGTGTCAAATATTTAATTACAATCCAAATTCAGATCTGTATCAAGCGCGAATATTTTTATCCATTTTTGCCCCAACTGTTCAGGGTTGGACCTCTGCGGTCGTATCCAGCTGCGCTCGGCGAAGCAATTTATTTATCTCTCTTCTGATCAATGGTCACCTGCCAAAAAAGATTTCAAAATTGTATATTATCAATAATATATACATACATTTGAAAACATACATTTTTCTCTTTGTTTTTTGCAATTTTCAAAAATTAACAATGATCACTTATCATAATTACAATTATCAATTTTTTATAAACAAGAGACTGCTAAACTACAGCAAACCTGACTAAATCGTCAATATCAAACTAAATTTTGGTACTCCATTTAGTCCAATATTGAAACTGAGAAGCAATCTTCAAACTGTTCACAATCTATTAAGCAGAAATAGCTTTTGCCAACCCATACACCGTCTACGTCGTTCTACCCAGAATTGATATATTTTCGTCAAGAAAACCCTGTGAAATTTAAATTTCATTATGATGGTGATTCTAGATTATGACAAGGAGTTTTATTATTAAACAGTGCATGACTATTTCCCCAGAGTTTGTTCCAAGCAGTCATTGGATTAAATCCTGAAAGTTGTTGAAACCAAGAGGAAATTTTCTGAAAGAATTTAGCACTAATTTCCCAATATGTCCACAACATTCAAATTGCTGTTGTAGACTTTCAGAAAAATAATGGTAAATTGTACAAATTTACATTAAAGATTGGTCTGTGCAATAAAATATTTTTACCTTTGGAGTCCAATCCATTTTTGCTTTATCCACTTTCTATGGTAAATCCAATACTTGTAAAGAAAAAATCCTAAAACGTTTTGCATGGACCACAGAAAACTTTCATTAATATTATATGTAATGTACATGACACAAAACATTTACAGTAAAAATTTAGGAGTTGTAAGTGATCGCCAATGCAGAGGCATTAAAATGTTCTTGTCACAAATTGTACTGTAAAAATAACTTGTAAATCATAATTTGTAATATGTTACTATTTATGAATTAATGTGAAAAGGTAATGTATCAAATTTTAGCAGTTTATAAGAATTATGAAATATTTGTTTAGTCTTTTTTGCTTGTGTTAGTAATGAAATAAAATTTGGTACAAGATGTATCTATTGATATCAAAGTGGATTCCCACACTTATTAGCTCACCTGGCCCATAAGGCCAACAAATCCTTTTATTCATGATTTAAGTTAGCAAAGGTTGAACAGGTAAAAGGGGAAAATGAAGAAAAAAAACAGTACTAAGATAAAATTTTGATACTTAGGGTAAAAACTTCAATTGGTAGAAAAGGTAAACATTGAAATTAGGTACTAATGTTAAACATTGAAAAAAGGTAAGGAGGATAATTATAGAAAACAGCTAGCAAGGGGAAAATTGTAAATGTAATGCAAGCGTAAACATTAGAACTTGGGAGAAAGAGTAACATTGGGATCACCCTTTGATATTGGAGATTTGAAAAAATATCCTGATTTTTAGGTTAATATCAATATGTAATACTTCTGTAAGATAAGCACTATGAAGCTGTAGTTTATATTTCTTGTATATATATTTCTAGGGTCAGATATTTGATGTATATAAGAACAAGGCTATCAATGAAGAAAGACGATTCCAAAATGTTGCCATTCACATGAAGAATCAATATTCATCTACAGTTAGACAGTGGAGAGCAAGTAAACGATTTTTTACAGGAGAAACTGGTGCCTGGGCTGAAAGGTAAGTAGGAAAGGCACTACTTTCCTGGGCCTTAATGTCAACCTACACTTGATGTATTTTATTGCTACATATAATTTGATCTGAAGCTTGATGATGTTGAGTTGCTGTTGATTAGATCTAACAGACAGCCTCTTTAAGCAATAAAACTCATACTGAAGAGAGGCGTCAGGCTGGCTGGGTTGTATGAATAAATATATGACTCATATATATAGCAGCAACATGTTGTCAGAATTGGGATGTATTTTCTTTGCCACTTTGTATGTTAAAAAGCCGAGCAATAACCCTTTAAAGGGATCTGCAGGTGGCCTGTTGCAAGTCAAATTTCTACCCCTTTGGAACATACCCTTTTTTCCAGTGGCAGTGAAAAATCCCAGCCTTTCATTCCTGTGGTAGTAAGAATTCAAGTTTTCGCTCAGTTAGTTTAGCCAAATAGTAAGGATTCAAGTTTTGGCTCAGTTTGTTTACCATGAGGTTGTGGCCACATCAACTTTCCACAACTGCTAGATAGTAAGGATTCAAGTTTTGGCTCAATTAGTTTAGCCAAATAGTAAGGATTCAAGTTTTGGCTCAGTTTGTTTACCATGATGTTGTGGCCACATCAACTTTCCACAACTGCTAGATAGTAAGGATTCAAGTTTTGGCTCAGTTTGTTTACCATGAGGTTGTGGCCACATCAACTTTCCACAACTGCGAGATAGTAAGGATTCAAGTTTTGGCTCAGTTAGTTTAGCCAAATAGTAAGGATTCAAGTTTTGGCTCAGTTTGTTTACCATGAGGTTGTGGCCACATCAACTTTCCACAACTGCTAGATAGTAAGGATTCAAGTTTTGGCTCAGTTTGTTTACCATGATGTTGTGGCTACATCAACTTGAAACATTTTCAATATGATGTGAACTTTTAAAGGGGCATTAACAGCCTTTTATAGCAGACTATACTGTATGGGTTTTTATGCAGTCGTATATTGGTATGACGTTGGCGTCGCCGTCTTCCGAAGACACATTGGTTTTCGCACTATAACTTTAGTTTAAGTGAATGGATCTCTATGAAATTTTACCATAAGGTTAAATACCACAAAAGGAAGGTCGGGATTGATTTTGGGGGTTATGGTACCAACAGTTAAGGAATTAGGGGCCAAAAAGGGGCCAAAAATAAGCATTTTCAAGTTTCTAGACAATAACTTGTGGAACGGTGTAGTCATCTCTCTGAAATTATACCACAAGTTTCCATACCACAAAGGGATGGTTAGGATTTGCTTTTGGGGGGTTATGGCTCAAACCGTTAAGGAATTAGGGGCAAAAAAGGGGGAAAAACAAGGTTGTCCTGGTTAATGGACAAATACTTTAGTACAAAACATAATTTAAAGCAGTGTAAGGGAGATAAATCAGATACATCATTTGAATTACCTCCCTTACACTGCTTTTGAATTATGTATAAAGTAATGGTTAATGAACAATTAAGACAATTTAAAACAGTGTAAGGGAGGTAATCCAAATACAATGTTTTGATTATTTCCCTTACACTGCTTTTAAATTATGTTTAAAGAAATGCATATTTATAAAGGAAGATCAGTAAAAATATCTGCAAATGTTGCATCTTTTTTTTTTTTACAAAAAAATCCATATGAAAGATTTGACACCATATTTTAAATTCTATTATAAGATAGTAAGTTAGCACTATGGTAAATTTAAATGGGTAATTATGGTTGCAAACTCCATTGGAAATTTGAATTGAGATCATGACCATATCTTGAGGGAAAGAATTTTTTTTGGGGGGGGGGGGGGGGGGGGTAAAAAGAAATTGTGGGGGGTCAATTTTTTCTCATTTCAGATTTCAGAAATTAAAAAAAAATTATTCTTCAAATATTATTTTTTTTCAAATTTCAAATATTGAAAAATTTCAAGAAGTAATCTTTAAGTGCACAGTATGGCGCATTAGATTTGTAAAATCTTTGACCTCATTTATTTATTTGTTATGCCGAATCTTACTGTGTATTTAGATTTTTAATTTTGGGTCCAGTTTTCAAATTGGTCTACATTAAGGTCCAAAGGGTCCAAAGTTAAACTCAGTTTGATTTTAACAAAAATTGAATATATGGGGTTCTTTGATATGCTGAATCTAAACATGTATTTAGATTTTTGATTTTGGGCCCAGTTTTCAAGTTGGTCCAAATTGGGGTCCAAAATTAAACTTTGTTTGATTTCAACAAAAATTGAATATATGGGGTTCTTTGATATGCTGAATCTAAACATGTGTTTAGATTTTTTATTATGGGCCCAGTTTTCAAGTTGGTCCAAATTGGGGTCCAAAATTAAACTTTGTTTGATTTCAACAAAAATTGAATATATGGGGTTCTTTGATATGCTGAATCTAACCATGTATTTTGATTTTTGGGCCCCATTATCAAATTGGTCCACATTGAGGTCAAAAGGGTCTAAAATGAAACTTTGTTTGATTTCATCAAAAATTGAATTCTTTGGATTCTTTGATATGCTGAAATTAGATTTTGGATATTGGACCATAATAGGTTAATTAAAAATTTTTAAGTTCTTAGACCACATTCATTCTGTGTCAGAAACCTATGCTGTGTCAAATATTTAATCACAATCCAAATTCAGAGCTGTATCAAGCTTGAATGTTGTGTCCACAGGGGTTCAAATTAACATTTGGGACTGGAAGGTCCAGGACCTTTGACACTCCAAACTGAAAGGTCCACAACATAAATCCCAGGTCCTACTTTATTTTAAATATTTCATATAATTCATAACTCAGTAAGATTAATGTGTTTTTGGTCTTAGGTTAGCTTGTTTAATTATATTTGAACTACATGCAATATTTTGTCAAGTTTACAAATATATTGCCAGGCAACCATATAAATGTAGCACTAAACTGCCAGTGTCACTGTGGTATAACATGTATAATAATAAATGATGTAATTGTCTTACAAGTATATTATGAATTCAAATAATCTTATTTTTTCATATTGGGGAGGGTGTCACTGTGGGTGGGTGTGTTGTCTCAATTATTGGTAATTATACCATTATCTCAGGGCTTAGACTACTTCAGAATCATAGCGGGGAGAAGTGACTTCTCTTTTTTAAACTGATAGGGAGAAGTGATTTCTCTTTTTTAAACTGATAGGGAGAAGTGGTGAGATTTGAAAGAGAAGTGCTCACTCAAGGCGCTACAATGTTTGATTTTTACTATAACATAAAGGGCTTTATGTATCTTTTTGTATATTGTTCAATTCATAACCGAGTATTCAATTAAAGTAACAGTTCAAAATCATAGCTGTTTAAGTTCATCATATGTTGCACAATTATATTAGTTCCTCTCTTGTTAGAAACTACCAACTTAATATCTAGCACTAATAAAGAAAGAACTTTTTTTACATCAAAAAAGAAAAGAAAGTGTGGATTGCTTAATTTTTCAAGTCCCTTTGGGATCAATATTCTTCTGTCAGATATGTGCCATTCATGGGTCCGTAGTCATTATCCTTAGAATCCGGATTTCATTCATAGCTGGTCCGTTTCCCCGACTCCGATCAGTAGTTTGTATAAATATTTCAATGGCGGACGAAAAAATTTACAAAAATAAACGATGTTTGAAACGCTATTTGGAAGGGAATATGACGTTTTTAATGCAATGAATGGATTACAAATTTACTTAAGGCAACTTTCATCACTTCTAATGGGTTAACAAACTTATTTTGCCGACAGTTAAAATGGTTTAAAGTACACTCTCGAGGGGTATACCATGTCAATAGTAATATGGCTTTGAAATGACGATACTGATGGTTCAAAAGGTCGGCAAAGTTAATTTTTATTTTCTTTCAAATCGAAGGTCTGTCGGGCGTAGCAAGTAACCAAAATGAAAGTCTGATTGCAATAGTGGAAGGTCACGGACCTCGGACCACCGCTAATTTGAACCCCTGGTCCATACTTGCCCCAACTGTTCAGGGTTCGACCTCTGCGGTCTTATCAAGCTGCGCCAGCAGGGAGCATTTTATTGTAACTTCCAGACATAACTTGTGTGTTAGTGTATGGATCTCTCTGACATTGTACCACAAGGTTCCATATCACAAAGGAAATGCTGGGATTGATTTTGGGGGTAATTGCCTCAAAATTTTAGGAATTAGGGGCCAAAAAGGGGCAAAAAACAAGCATTTTTCTAGTTTCATGACAATTACTTGTGTGTAAGTGTATGGATCTTTTTGAAATTGTACTACAAGGTTCCATATCACAAAGGGAAAGCTGGAATTGAGTTTGGGGGTAATTGCCCAAAACGTTTAGGAATAAGGGGCCAAAAAGGGGCCAAAAATCAGCATTTTTCTAGTTTCCAGACAATAACTTGTGTTCAAGTGTATGGATCTCTCTGAAATTGTACTGCAAGGTACCATACCACAAAGGGAAGGCTGGGATTGATTTTGGGGGTAATTGCCTTAAAATTTTAGGAATTAGGGGCCAAAAAGGGGCAAAAAACAAGCATTTTTCTAGTTTCAGGACAATAGCTTGTGTGTAAGTGTATGGATCTTTATGAAATTGTACTACAAGGTTCCATATCACACAGGGAAAGCTGGGTTTGAGTTTGGGGGTAATTGCCCTAAACGTTTAGGAATTTGGGGCCAAAAAAGGGGCCTAAAAACAAGCATTTTTCTAGTTTCCAGACAATAACTTGTGTTCAAGTGTATGGATCTCTCTGAAATTGTACTGCAAGGTACCATACCACAAAGGGAAGGCTGGGATTGAGTTTGTGGGTGATGAATCATAAGGGGGTTCAAAAAATTTGGGGGAGGGATTTTTTTTTCCTTTTTTTCCTTTTTTTTTCTTTAAAATTTTCCAATTTAAATTGGTTATTTCTGATTTATATATAAAAGCAAATAATAATGATATGGTTTGAAAAGGTAAATTAAAATTTTAAGTTCTTAGACCACATTCATTCTGTGTCAGAAACCTATGCTGTGTCAAATATTTAATCACAATCCAAATTCAGTGCTGTATCAAGCTTGACTGTTGTGTCCATACTTGCCCCAACTGTTCAGGGTTCAACCTTTGCGGTCGTATCAAGCTGTGCCCAGCGGAGCATTTTATTCTCATTGTTGAAGGCCCTAATGGTTGCTTATTATTGCTTACATTTACTTCATTTGATCTCTGGTGGATAGTTGTCTCATTAGCAATCATACTACATCTTCTTTTTTTTTTATGTTAACTGTCAAATTTATTTTCACTGTTTTGACTCAAATTATAACATACTAAAAAGTAGATCCAAATTACAAAAAATCCAAAAGAAAAAGTTAACAATGCACTACTTATAATATATCAGCATTTCTTGGGTATTTTGGACTAGACACCATCTAATCAACCATCAAGATGACCTTTTCTTTTGAATAACTGAATGAGTGCAACTTATCTCTAGCTAAGGATGAAATAGAAGGTCATACATCAGTGAAGTTTTTGAGCTTATTTTGACAAATTAAACCAAACTGACTGCTAATTTGCAAAATATTATTTCAATATTCCGCTTTGATAAATTATATTTTGATTTTTTTTTATTCTAGCTAATGCCCCTTTCAAATTATATGCAAATTACTGTTTTGACATAAATTTTATAGTTTACTTATCATGTAAATATGAGAGTGTGAAACCAGTTCATCCTCAAGTTAGAGTTTTTAATTAGAACAGTTGACCATGAAGTTGTGGTTACATCATCTTGAAACATGTTCATTATGATGGGAACCTTTTTATAATAAATCAAATTGTGGTTTTGATCCTGATTTAACAGATTTCATGGAAATAAAAAGGATATGCTGTTGTTGATCCTGTACATCATCTTTTGTTGTCATTGGGATAGTGCCTTCAATTTTTATTGGAGCTAGCTTGTATGTATGTTAAAACTAGGTAATCATAACCATAGATGAGTATGGTAAACAGAAAAATCTGAAATTAGGGACATATTTTTCAGGAGGGGAAGTAAAAATATCTCATATTAATTCTTGTTGCCTGGATTGGACCTTCATCTTTTATCAGATCCTAATCAAATGGTATGTTGGGTTCCATTCATTAAAACCTCCGATGAGCTCAATGGTCAGAAAAGGGTGAAATTGGGGACCATTTTATTGGGAGAGGAGCTTATCAAATCAAATCAAATGATAGGGAAAAAGTTCCCCATTAGTTGTCTAGTGCAGAAGAAGTGTTATATATTTGCAGGAGTCAGGGAGCACTTCAATGGAAGATGTCTAACCAAGAAAACTTCACCAGGATGAGAGTAAAACTAATACCTAATTATAATTTTGACCTGCATGTTGAAGCCAGCAGACAGAGAGATAATATAGGTATGGAAGCTACTTTTGCACCAGAATCACTCCAAAAATAATGTATATGTTCATGATTCAGGGACTGCTTAAAAAAACATGTATAGTTTTTATATGCCCGTTTACGGGACGTATTATGGTATACCGTTGTCCATCTGTCCGTCCGTCCGTCTGTCGTCAACATGTCGGACATTAATTCAAAATGCTTTAACCAATATGCATGAAACTTTGGTGAATTGCTTATATCTATTGACGTGAGCTCCCTTTTCGTTTTTTATAAATTTCAGATTTACCATTTCTAATTTTGGGGCTTTATTCATTAAAAAGGGGGCATTTTTCTAGTTTTCGGACAATAACTCAAAAACAATTTCACCAATTTGCATGAAACTTTTGTGAATTGTTCATATCTATAAAGGTGAGCTCCCTTTCGTTTTTTTTAAATTTCGGGTTCACCGTTTCCAAGTTTTGGGGTTTTATTCATTAAAAAAGGGGGGATTTTCCAGTTTTCGGACAATAACTCAAAAAGAATTTCACCAATTTGCATGAAACTTTTGTGAATTGTTCATATCTATTGACATGAGCTCCCTTTCATTTTTTTTATAAATTTCAGATTTACCCTTTTCCGAGTTTTGGGGTTTTATTCATTAAAAAAGGGGGGATTTTGCCAGTTTTCAGACAATTACTCAAAAACAATTTCACCAATTTGCAAGAAACTTTGGTGAATTGTTTAATTCTATCGACATGAGCTCCCTTTTCATTTTTATAAATTTCAGACTATACGATCCCGATTTATGTGGTTTTATTCATTACAAAAAGGGGGATTTTCTAGTTTTCGGACAATAACTCAAAAATGCTTTCAGCATTTTTCATGAAACTTAGGTAAATTGTTTATATCTATTTTTGTAAGCTCCCTTTTGATTTTAATAAATTTTCGATTTTACGTTTCTGAGTTATAAGATTTTATTTGTTTATAGTCTGACAACAGATTTACTAAGTATTGCGCAACAGCACAGTGTATTGCACATCAGCAAGAAATCTTTCATATAACCAATTTCAAGTTCTTTGACTACATTTATTCAGAAACCTATTATATATCAAATATTTAATTACAATCCAAATTCAGACCTGTATCAAGCTTGAATATTGTGTCCATTTTTGCCCCAACTGTTCAGGGTTGGACCTCTGCGGGCGTATCCAGCTGCGCTCAGCGAAGCAGTTTATTTTTTTTGTCATGTAAAACTTCAAATTGCAAAATGTTCAGCAAAGTAAGATCTAAAAATATTTCAACACGACTGAAATCGTCAATTCACCCCTTATAGAGGTTATTGCCCCTAAAAGACACTTAACTAGGGAAAAAGTTCATCTTAGTGAGAACTAAAAATAAGTCTGCATGACCAAAATTGTAAATGACTCTGATAGGGGTTATTACCCTTTAAAGATATTTTTCATTTTGTTTTAAAGTTTTTTTTAAGAACTATTGGGTGCATTTATTATTGAGATTTTTTAAGAATGAACAAAAATGCAAGTTTGATAATTGCGATGTTCAGAAAAAGTGCATACAGATATATGTATCAGATAGTAGAATGCAAGTTCTTATTATTGTGATACTCAAGTAGATATAATATGTGAAATTCATATGAATTATCATCTTATCGAGATATAAAAACTTCCTATTGTTTAAGGGACATCATTTTCCAAATATATAAATAAGAAGATGTTGTATGAGTGCCAATGAAACAACTCTCCATCCAAGTCACAATGTGTAAAAAGTAAACAATTATAGGTCAAAGTACGGCCTTCAACACGGAGTCTTGGCTCACACCGAACAGCAAGCTATAAAGGGCCCCAAAATGACAAGTGTAAAACAATTCAAACAGGAAAAGCAAGGTCTAATCTATATAAAAAACGAGAAACGAGAAACACTTATGAACCACACCAACAAACGACAACCACTGAACAACAGGCTCCTGACTTAGGACAGGTGCATGCAAATGCATGTATTAGATTAGCTACACACATATATATATATATATATACACATGTATAACTTTGTCAATTTTTTAGGTGTTAATGACTTAGATCCATCAGATCATCTTAAACAGTTAACTGTAACCAAAGAAGCCTTGGTTTCCAAGGAAAACATTGCTGATGACATCATAGGAGATGAAGAATGGACTACAGTTAATCCAGATGGGTAAATGATTCAACAATTAAAATTGTACTTTTTAACTTGACTAGGTTATTTCCAATACCAATATTCACAAGATAATTCATGTATATGAAACAAACAGGAACAGTGTGTTTTTATACGACCGCAAAAAATTTTTGCCATTTTTTGCGGTCGTATATTGGTATCACGTTGTCGTTGTCGTCGTCGTCGTCCAAAGACACTTGGTTTCTGGACAATAACTTTAGTGTTAGTTAATAGAAATCTATGGAATTTAAACACAATGGGGTAATGGTCCTAACAGTTTAGGAATAAGGGGCCCAAATAAGCATTTAAGCATTGGCCTTCGGCTGTTGTCTGCTCTATGGTCAGGTTGTTGTCTCTTTGACACATTCCCCATTTCCATTCTCAATTTTATTTTTCTAGTTTTCAGACAATAACTTGTGGAACAGTGTATGAATCTCTCTGAAATTGTACAACAAGTTTCCATACCACAAAGGGATGGTTAGAATTAGCTTTGGGGAGTAATGGCTCAAACCGTTTAGGAATTAGGGCAAAAAAGGGGAAAAAACAAGGGTTTCCTTGTTAATGGACAATCACTTTTAAGTACAATGTTAAATTAGGATTACCTCCCTTACACTGCTTTTAAATTATGTAAAAAGAAATTTTGTATTGTCTTGAGGTGATTAGCTGTCAATTTACTTTTAGAAGTTACTAATAAAAATGCTGATTAAAGATATATTATTTTTAGACATGATTATGTATGTCATTTTCTATTTTAAGACTTTTATGATGTATTTAAATGGGTAATTATGGTTGCAAACTCCATTGGATATTTGAATTGAAATAATGACCATATCTTGGGGAAGATTTTTTTTTGGAAAAAGGGGAGGGGGAGGTGAAAAATAATTGGGGTTAAAAAGAAATTGTGGGGGTGGGAACAATTTTTTTTCTCATTACAGATTTCAGAAATTAATAAGAAAATTTCTTGAAATATTTTTGTAAAAAAAAAAGGGGGTGGGGTGAAAAAAAAATTTTCCCCAAAAAAAAGGGGGTGAAATTTTTTTTTTAAGGGGGTGAGGGGGGGAGGGGGATCAATTCGCAACAGCATAGTGTATTGCACAAAAGCAAAAAAAAAGGGGGGTAAATATTTTTTTTTTGGGAGGGGGGGGCAATTCGCAACAGCATAGTGTATTGCACAAAAGCAAAAAATTGAATATAAATTCAAATCATATTACCAATTCTAAGTTCTTTGACTACAGTTATTCTGTGTCAGAAACCTATTATGTGTCAAACATTTAATTTCAATCCAAATTCAGACCTGTATCAAGCACGAATATTGTGTCCATTTTTGCCCCAACTGTTCAGGGTTGGACCTCTGCGGTCGTATCCAGCTGCGCTCGGCAAAGCATTTTATTATCAATAAACGTAGAATAAAAAGCTGGGTAATGGAAAGCTGCTTTCAGATAGGTTAAGTGCTTACCTCTCGTTTTAAGATGAGTTAGATGTTCAAGTAAAGGGGTAGAGAAGTACTATTAAGCATACTGTTGTACAAGACAGGTATTTGATTTTGAATACACTAACATAATTTTGGAACTTTTTAGAATTCACATCTGATTCACAGCAACTCTGAAGACAGATTGTTTTTACTTTTGAAATTTATGTTGATTGATTGATTGATTGTTGGTTGCTTAACGTCCAGTGGCAAATAGAAATTTATGTTGAAAATTTACATTGAGCAATTTTCAAATGCAGCAGTGTTAGTCTGTATTTTTAGCTCACCTGACCTGAAAGGTCAAGTGAGCTTTTCTCATCACTTTGCGTCCGTCGTCCGTCGTCCGTAAACTTTTACAAAAATCTTCTCCTCTGAAACTACTGGGCCAAATTAAACCAAACTTGGCCACAATCATCATTGGGGTATCTAGTTTAAAAAATGTGTCCGGTGCCGTTTTTGGTTATTATCTTGAATATTATTATAGATAGAGATAAACTGTAAACAGCAATAATGTTCAGCAAAGTAAGATCTACAATTAGGTCAACTTGACCAAAATGGTCAGTTGACCCCTTAAGGAGTTATTGCCCTTTATATTCAATTTTTAACCATTTTTCGTAAATTTTTGTAATCTTTTACAAAAATCTTCTCCTCTGAAACTACTAAGACAAATGTAACCAAACTTGTCCACAATCATCATTAGGGTATCTAGTTTAAAAAATGTGTCCGATGACCCCGCCTGCGAACCAAGATGGCCGACATGGCTAAAAAATAGTACATAGGGTAAAATGCAGTTTTTGGCTCATATCTCTGAAACCAAAGCATTTAGAGCAAATCTGATTAGGGTAAAATTGTTTATCAGGTCAAGATCTATCTGCCCTGAAATTTTCAGACCAATCAGGCAACACGTTGTTGGGTTGCTGCCCCTGAATTGGTAATTTTAAGGAAATTTTGCAGTTTTTGGTTATTATCTTGAATATTATTATAGATAGAGATAAACTGTAAACAGCAATTATAATGTACAGCAAAGTTAGATCTACAAATAAGTCAACATGACCAAAATTGTCAATTGACCCCTTAAGGAGTTATTGCCCTTTATAGTCAATTTTTTACAATTTTCATAAATTTTGTAAATTTTTGTAAATTTTTACAAAATATTTTCCACTGTAACTACCGGGCCAAGTTCATTATAGATAGAGATAATAGTAAGGAGCAAGAATGTTCAGTAAAGTAAGATCTACAAACACATCACCATCACCAAAACACAGTTTTGTCATGAATCCATCTGTGTCCTTTGTTTAATATGCACATAGACCAAGGTGAGCGACACAGGCTCTTTAGAGCCTCTAGTTTTGTAATCCCATAGGAATTTTCTGATCGATTTTAGAAGCAGATTTTTTTTTCAATTTTTAAAATGATTGAAAAATGCATCTAACCAAAAGTCACATATACTTAAGTGAGTAAGAGTGTTGCTATTTAATATCTTACAGTGAACAATGTAAAAATGATATTTTGCTATTATTCCTTTGTTTTTAATACAAAATCTCAAAACTGATTTTGTAAAGTAAAGGTGCATTTAATTCATCAGTCCACATAATGGAAACATTACACTCATTTTAAACTAATACAAGGGGCTTGGTGGCCTAGTGGTCTAAGTAGTTACTACTGTAATCACTAGCCAGTCAACACTGAGGTTGTGAGTTCGAACCCCGCTTGTGCGGGTGCACTCGACTCCAATCTTAATTGACTAGGATTGTCAGTTTTCTCCGGGCACTCCGGCTTCCTCCATCAATAAAAACTGGCCGCCACGAAATAGCCCAAAAGAGGTGCTTAAAAGTGGCGTTAAAACACCAAAAATCAAATCAAATCAACTAATGCATTACAAGTTGCTATTTATGTTGTGTATTTGTTATCTCATATTCTGTTATTTAAGAGTTTTAAGTGTTTTTCCTGCACTGTTTTTTTTTATTGTATGCTCTTTAATAATCATTTGGTTAATCTACAGAACTCCACCACATTTCATGCAGTCAGAAACCTCATCCGTAGTTGTCCTATTTCATAATTTAATGTTTTAGTTGTTTGAAAAACTGGGTGTAAATGGCAAATATTTGATAGTTTCTGTTAAATTTATTCACCACTTTTATAGAATCAAGAAGATTTAGAGCTTGACATTTTGTATAGACACCTGTCTATTTTTGAAGACTGTATGTTGCCGTCTTTTAGTTTTCTTGTCATTGGGTTGCTGTCTCTTTGACATATACCCAACATCTCTCTTTATTCATGCTAGTTTATTTATTGCAAGGGATTTATTTTAGTGTTTGCCTATCAGACAAAAACCATAATTGATTAATGTATCAAATATATATACCAAAATAGGTTTTTGACCCAGATTTTACAGTTCATATTCATGGAAATATAATAGTGCTTATAATGTTAAAATTTTTAGTTAAGTTAGTTAACCATGAAGTTATTGTCACATAAACTTGAAACAAAGTACACATTATATATATATAAATAAGGAGTCTACAGACCTGGGGTAATTAAAAATGTAATTGTAATTAGGTGTAATTAATTACAAATTTGAAAGTATTGAAATGCCCTTTTGCCATGTAATTATGAATTACATTTCAATTACTTTCAATTACATTAAAATATTTGCTGGGAAATTTTTTAAACATTTTTGGCTGTTCTGAAGCAACTTGTATTTTATATTTTCCCTACATTTAGTATGCACTTGGTACTTTTTTTTATACTTTTTAAACACTTATCATGTTGAGAAAACTACAGCATTCCTTGATATTTCCTTTTATAATCATTATAGCATGTATAATAATCTTTATTTGTATTTAATTCATTAATTTTTTCACATGTTTAGATGAAAAATCTAAAAATCAAGAACAATACCAATTTATTGACATGATTGACCTACAATTTGTAAATATGTTGTTCTAACAATTATCAATAATCATAGCCCCAGGTTATTCTTCACTTAACTAATTATGAAGTAAAAGAATGTCCCTTGATTAAAATGCCAAAGGCAATTTTTATTTTAAACCATCATATGCATATGTTAAAATATGTTAAGATGGACAAATGGAATCTTGAAATAATTTCACTGCTAAAAAGTGCATGTATACATAAAAGTTTCATTCTGTTCTTTTCTGTTGTCATTTTAATGATTTTATTCTAAATGATACTCTTACAAGTCTTTGGACAAAAGTAATTGAAATGTAATTAATTACTTTGGCATGTAATTGCCCCCAGGTCTGTAAGGAGATGTGGTATAATTGCCAATGAGGCAAATATCTATCAGAGACCATATGACTAAGACGTAAATAACTATAGCGCACGGTACATCCTTCAATAATGAGCAAAACCCACCTCAGGTTGAGCTGTAAGATAATCTAATTCATTAAAGCTTGGGATACATAAAAAATCTTCAATCAAATTTGAAAGGAATTCAACTATAAAGTATGATGCTATACGTGTGAATATAAGAGTGTGAGTTAGGCAGATAGGCATGATGAGTGCTTTT